AAGACAATTAAAAGCAACAATCAACTCAATCAATGTGAATATTATGATCATTGTTTTATCAAAGGAAGCAGAATGAAAGAATTTTTAACCAAAAGCATAAAACCGAGATTGATGTGAATGCATCACAATAGCAGATCATTTCCCAAAATAAATTAAAGGTTTAAATGTGGCACATGGCCAAAAACATTGCAGAATTACAGTATTTCATTCCTTAGAAAAAGCCATAGTGTGAACAGGACGCTGGACAGAACTGGTGCGACAGCAGAAGACGTTTGATTTGTAGAAACACTTTGCAATGTCTGCGTTTGGCTGGTGGTGTTAATGGAGCCTAGAGATTCCACTGGAATGAGAGAAAAATAAGATTAAATCAGTCACTGACATCAATAACAGCAAATCAAATCACTTTCAAAAGCAGCGTTAGAAGACCCTCACCGACTGTGATACTGGAAGGAATCACTGGGAGGAAGACGTTTGAGTCGGTGATGGCTGTACTCAGAGTTTCTTCAATGCTTGTTGCGTTTGGCAGCACATTCTGGTTTTGAAAAATGATTTGTGTGTCCACGCCTACTGACCCAGGCCTGCAGTGGAAGAAAAAGGTAAAAAAAAAGCGACGCAGTTATATATTTACAGTGCTCGGGATAAATGAGCACACCCACTTCTGAATATGAATATTTTACCCATGTCTCAGCAAATATAGGCAATATTATTTGCTGCATTTAAATTTATTAAACAGTTTTATCTCTCAAAATAACAGTCTGGTCACCGAACATCTTTAGAAATGGAAAGATCCTACATTTAAATTCAAACCAGTAATTGCAAAAAATAATTGCAAACTACAATATTTCATCTAAACGATTATATATTTTAAGTTTGCCTTCCCTTTTTGACCATTCACCACTCAGAAATGTGGTTTGGGCTGTCATGACCTCTTAAATACCAGTTTGGGACACAATTGGGTATTTGGATGATGACAGGGAGCAATCACTGAGTAGATTTCCTTTTTTAATAATAGATCAGGTTTTCCACCATGTCTTATTTCACATTTTTAATTCAAGAGCTGTTAGTGGTGGAGTGACCAGGTGACTTACAAATGATGATTCAGGTGACTTACAAATGATGATGACTGCTCTGTCTAAATCAGGGATGCTCAACCCTGTTCCTGGAGATCTACCTTTCTGCAGAGTTTAGCTCCAACCCTGATCAAACACAACATAACCAACTGATCTGAAGGAGCACTTGGTAATTAAAGACAAGTGTGTTTGATCAAGGTTGCAGCTGAAGCCTGCAGGAATGTAGATCTCCTGGAATATGGTTGGGCACCTCCGGTCTAAATGATCCCATTTCATTAACTGCTTACCATCAAACTTTATAAAAACATTATTCCTGGCGTCCGTTCTTTGTACCTCGCTTAATTGATCTAAGATGATTTGGCAGATCCTGGATCTGTTCATCTTGATAACTGATCTCTCGCTAATTTGGTTCTTCAAACAAGTTCGTGAATCAGATTAGAATGTCTGGATGAGCTGATATAAGATCGCTGCATGTGTTTTAAAGGACAGATCTATCCATTCTCAAAATCATGATCAGCAATGCAATGATTGGCTGATGGCACAGCAGCGTAATGACATCATCTGATTAATATTCAATTATCCATGTGAGCAAAATTACATAATTTGTAGTAAAACGTTAAATATGAAACGCAATAACTTTCCACATTTGATGTGGGCTGCAGACTTTACTTTCATGTGTCAAGAGTATTCATCATGTATTTTAATGCATATCAGTGTATTTAGTTCTACATTTAGAAATTTTTTTCTTTACTATAGTATCCTAGGCCTACTTAAGTTTTTTAATCGGCGTTAGGAAAAACTGTATAAATTAATTTTGCATCAAAAAAGCATTTTGATATTAGTAAAGTTGTCAATCACTGGCGTATTAGTGATCAAAACACTTGCATGACTGTATGAATTATTATCCTTTTAAAAAAAAAAAGTCCAATATTGTGCATGTACGCGTTTGTATCTAAAAAGTTCATATCAATAAATATTCTCTTTGATCCAGCAGGTGTCAGTCTTTTATTTTTATTTCGGAGTGCATATTGTATACGTTTTATTAATATAATTTTTAAAACTTTATATATTTAGTTAATAATATATATATCTACTATTATTACTATTACTATTTTTTGTAAGAAAATATCAGCATTTAGGTTAGGGTTAGGGCTTGGTCTGCTTCTCACATTTAGGTCACTTCCTAACCTTGCTCCACCATATCTTACTGACCTTCTCCACATCTATCCTCCATTCTGCATTCTTAGATCTTCTCACACTATTTCTCTTGTGTCACAGCATACACAATTCTTCTGATTGATGTAAAGAGCATTAACAGCCCTTTTGATTGTGTTTTAGGCCTTTTCTATCTTTTCATTAGATAAAAATGTATCATTAAAAATTTTAATAAAATGTATCTCAGATTATGAAATAACATCCTGTTGGGAGTGCTGTTGAATACTACTGCTAAATTCCTGACTGATGCTTAAGCTTAGGAGACAGGAAGTTGTCAGAGAATGTACTCATAAATGCACCTAAGCAACCTTAATACAAAATTCTCATGTCAGAAGGGATGAGAGTAGCAGTCCTTATAATAATTGAAAAAAAAGTGTGGGTTTCCTAGCACTCTAACCTCCATTATTAAAATATCAATATTAATGTTAATACAGTTTTCCAAACAATTATTACAAAAAGAAATAAAGGAACCATGTAGCATACCAAAATCTTATCACATAACATCTGAGGAAGCGGGTTCCATAAATGCTCTGGTAGAGTCGATTCAGCTACAGAAACACAAAAAAAAAAAAAAAAACTCAAACTTAAGATAAGAATTAGCTTATTTTAAAGATAGTCTAGTCTTCATAAGTAAGAAAATAATTGTTGGTTGGATTACCTCAATAGTGATGTTTCTGGACAGACTCTGGTACTCCACGGAAGCAGGGTTATTGTAAGCATCAATATATTGTGTTTGTAAACGAATCTGCAGAACAACAAATACCTCCCCTGGCATTGCTGAACCAGTAGATGCTTTAGTTGATGAATAAGTGGTTGGTGGTGATGAAGATGTGGTTGAGGTTGTGACAATATTAGAATGTGCTGAGGTTGCAAATATTATAGTTGTGGTAAACCGATTAGCAGCTGTACTGGATACAGGATTATTAAGAGCAGATGTAGTTGATTGATCAGAGGCAACTGTTGTGGTTATTAGACTATGAATAACTACATTGTTTGATCGGTCTAGTAAAAGAGTTGGGCTTGGCTGATCTGCAAGAACCACAACAGTTGTGGAATCAGCAAGAACCGATGTTTTTGAATCCAAAGGTTCTTTAGTGGTGACTGGTCTATTATCAGCAGTTGTACTTAACAGATCATTTGGAACTGCAATGCTTGGATAGCCTGGAGAAAGTGTTGTGCTTGACAGATCAGTAGAAACAGTGGTTGTGGAATCATCAGGAACAGATGCCTTTGAGGAACCCAAAAGATCTTTAGTGGTCTGGGAACCATTAGATGCAGATGTGTTTGGTTGATCCTTAGAAACTGTTGTGGTTGATAGACTGGATACAACTACATTTCTTGATTGGTCTAGAAAAACTGTTGTGCTTGACTTATCTGCTGGAGGAGCTGCAGTTGTGGAATCAACAGGAAGTGATGTCTTTGAATAATCTACAGTTTCTTTAGTGGTTACTTGTCCATGATTAGCAGTTGTGTTTGACAGATCATTAGGAACTGCATTGCTTGAATGACCCAAAGAAACAATTGTGATTGATAGATTAGTAGGATCTGCAGTGGTTATGGAATTATCAGGAACAAGTGTCTTTGAAGAGGTCATGGGACTATTGGGTGATGTTGTGTCAGTCTGAGCAGAAGCAACTGCAGTTAATAAACTTGAATGAACTACATTGCTTGATTGGTCTAGAAGAACAATTGTGCTTGACTGATCTGCAGGAACTGAGACAGGTGTGGAATCAATAAGAACAGATGTCTTTGAATACAAAGGTTCTTTGGTCATAACTGGTCCATTATCAGCAGTTGCGATGGACCAATCATTAGGAACTGCATTGTTTGAATGGCCTGGAGAAGGAGCTGTGCTTGATAGATCAGTAGGACCTGCAGCAGTTGTAAATTTATCAGGAACAGATGACTTTGATGAACCCAAAATATCCTTAGTGATGATGGGACCATTAGGTCCAGTTGTGCTTGACTGAACATTAGGAACTGTTGCGGTTAATGGATTAAGAACTACATTGCTTGATTGGTCTTTGGTGGGGAGTGGTCCATTATTAGCAGTTGTTATTGACAGAACATTGCTTGATTGGTCTAGAGGATCTTTTGTGCTTGACCCATAATCAGGAACTGCAGTAGTTTTGAACTCAGTAGGAAAAGTTGTATATGATGAATCCAAAGAATCTTTAGTAGTGACTGGTCCATTACTAGCAGTTGTGCTTGATAGATAATTAGGAACTCCACTGATTGAATGCCCTGGTGAAAGAGTTGTGCTGGACAGATCAGTAGGAAATGGAGCAATTGTGGAATCATCAGGAACAGATGTCTTTGAACTCAATAGGGGTTTAGTGGTGATTGGACTGTTAGGTGCAGTTATGCTCAACTGATCAGAAGCAGCTGTTGTGGTTAATAGACTAGGAAGAACTACATTGCTTGATTGGTCTAGAGGAACAGTTGTGCTTGACTGATATGCAGGAATTGCAGCAGTTGTAGAATCAACAGGAACAGATGTCTTTGAACCCAAAAGATCTATGATGGTGAAAGGGCCATTAGGTGCAGTTGTTCTTGACTGATCAAAAGCAGCTTTTGTGGTTAACAGACTAGGAAAAACTAAATTGCTTGAATGGTCTAGAGGAACAGTTGTGCTTGACTCATATTTATGAACTGTTTCAGTTGTGGAATCAATAGGAACATATGTATATGATGAATCCAAAGTTTCTTTAGTGGTGACTGGTCCGTTTTTATCAGTTGTGCTTGACAGATCATTAGGAACTCCACTCATTGAATGGCCTGAAGAAAGAGTTGTGGTTGACTGACCTGCAAGAACTGAAGCAGTTGCGGAATCATTAGGAACAGTTGTCTTGGAACTCAAAGGGTCTTTAGTGGTGATGGAACCATTAGTTGCATTTGTGCTTGACTGGTCAGAAGCAGGTGTTGTGGTTAATAGACTAGGAAGAACTACATTGCTTGATTGGTCTAGAGGAACAGTTGTGCTTGACTGACCTACAGGAACTGCAGCAGTTGTAGAATCAACAGAAACAGTTGTCTTTGAGTCCAAAGGTTCTTTAGTGGTGACTGAATTGTCATCAGCAGTTGTGCTTGACAGATCATCAGGAACTCCACTGATTGGTTGTCCTGAGGAAAGAGTTGTAGTTGACTGACCTGCAGGACCTGTAGCATTTGTAGAATCATTAGGAACAGATGTCTTGGAACTCAAAGGGTCTTTAGTGGTGATGGAACCATTAGGTGCCTTTGTGCTTGACTGACCGGAAGCAGCCGTTGTGGTTAATAGACTAGGAGGAACTATGTTGCTTGATTGGTCTAGAGGAACAGTTATGCTTGACTGACCTACAGGAACTGCAGCAGTTGTGGAATCAACAGAAACATATGTCTTTGGTTCCAAAGTTTCTTTAGTGGTGATTGGTCTATTATTAGTAGTTGTGCTTGACAGATCATTAGGAACCCCACTGTTTAAATGACCTGAAGAAAGAGTTGTAATTGACAGATCAGTAGGAACTGGAGCAGTTGTGAAATTAACAGGAACAGATGTCTTTGAATCCAAAGGTTCTTTAGCGGTGACTGGTCCATTATCAGTAGTTGTGCTTGACAGATCATTAGGAATTCCACTGATTGAATGGTTTGGAGAAAGAGTTGTGCTTGAGTGCCCTGCAGGAACTGGAGCAGTTGTAGAATCATCAGGAACAGATGTCTTGGAACTCAAAGGGTCTTTTGGGGTGATGGGACTATTAGATGTATTTGTGCTTGATTGATCAGAAGCAGCTGATGTGGTTAATAGACTAGAAAGAACTAAGTTGCTTGATTGGTCTAGAGGAACAGTTATGCTTGTCTGACCTTCAGGAACTGCAGCAGTTGTGGAATCAACAGAAACATATGTCTTAGAGTCCAACGGTTCTTTAGTGTTGACTGGTCCATTATCAGCAGTTGTACTTAACAGATCAGTTGGAACTGCATTGCTTGGACGACCCGGAGAAAGGGGTGTGCTTGACAGTTCAGTAGAAACTACAGTGGCTATGGAATCATCAGGAACAGACGTCTTGGACCTCAAAGGGTCTTTAGTGGTGATGGGACCATTAGTTGCATTTGTGCTTGACTGATCAGAAGCAGCTGTTGTGGTTAATAGACTAGGAAGAACTACATTGCTTGATTGGTCTAGAGAAACAGTTGTGCTTGACTGACCTACAGGAACTGCAGCAGTTGTGGAATCAACAGAAACATATGTCTTGGAGTCCAAAGGTTCTTTAGTGGTGACTGAACTGTCATCAGCAGTTGTGTTTGACAGATCATTAGGAACTCCACTGATTGATTGGCCTGGAGAAAGAGTTGTAGTTGACTGACCTGCAGGACCTGTAGCATTTGTAGAATCATTAGGAACAGATGTCTTGGAACTCAAAGGGTCTTTAGTGCTGATGGAACCATTGGGTGCCTTTGTGCTTGACTGACCGGAAGCAGCCGTTGTGGTTAATAGACTTGGATGAACTATGTTGCTTGATTGGTCTAGAGGAACAGTTGTGCTTGACTGACCTACAGGAACTGCAGCAGTTGAGGAATCATCAGAAACATATGTCTTTGGTTCCAAAGGTTCTTTAGTGGTGATTGGTCCATTATTAGTAGTTGTGCTTGACAGATCATTAGGAACTCCACTGATTGATTGGCCTGGAGAAAGGGGTGTGCTTGACAGTTCAGTAGGAACTACAGTGGCTATGGAATCATCAGGAACAGACGTCTTGGAACTCAAAGGGTCCTTAGTGGTGACGGGACCATTCGGTGCATTTGTGCTTGATTGATCAGAAGCAGTTGTTGTGGTTAATAAACTAGGAAGAACTATGTTGCTTGATTGGTCAGGAGAAACAGTGGTGCTTGACTGACCTTCAGGAACTGCAGCAGTTGTGGATTCAACAGAAACATATGTATTTAAATCCAAAGGTTCTTTAGTGGTGACTGAATTGTTATTAGCAGTTGTGCTTGACAGATCATCAGGAACTCCACTGATTGATTGGCCTGGAGAAAGAGTTGTGCTTGACTGACCTGCAGGAACTGGAGCAGTTGTAGAATCATTAAGAGATGATGTCTTGGAACTCAAAGGGTCCTTAGTGGTGATGCCACCATTCGGTGCATTTGTGCTTGATTGATCAGAAGCAGCTGTTGTGATTAATAGACTAGGAAGAACTACATTGCTTGATTGGTCTAGAGGAACAGTTGTGCTTGACTGACCTACAGGAACTGCAGCAGTTGTGGAATCAACAGAAACATATGTCTTAGAGTCCAAAGGTTCTTTAGTGGTGACTGAACTGTCATCAGCAGTTGTGCTTGACAGATCATTAGGAACTCCACTGATTGATTGGCCTGGAGAAAGAGTTGTAATTGACTGACCTGCAGGACCTGTAGCATTTGTAGAATCATTAGGAACAGATGTCTTGGAACTCAAAGGGTCTTTAGTGGTGATGGAACCGTTAGGTGCCTTTGTGCTTGACTGACCGGAAGCAGCCGTTGTGGTTAATAGACTAGGAGGAACTATGTTGCTTGATTTTTCTAGAGGAACAGTTGTGCTTGACTGACCTACAGGAACTGCAGCAGTTGTGGAATCAACAGAAACATATGTCTTTGGTTCCAAAGGTTCTTTAGTGGTGATTGGTCCATTATTAGTAGTTGTGCTTAACAGATCATTTGGAACTGCATTGCTTGGATGACCCGGAGAAAGGGGTGTGCTTGACAGCTCAGTAGGAACTACAGTGGCTATGGAATCATCAGGAACAGACGTCTTGGAACTCAAAGGGTCCTTAGTGGTGACGGGACCATTCGGTGCATTTGTGCTTGATTGATCAGAAGCAGTTGTTGTGGTTAATAAACTAGGAAGAACTATGTTGCTTGATTGGTCAGGAGAAACAGTGGTGCTTGACTGACCTACAGGAACTGCAGCAGTTGTGGAATCAACAGAAACATATGTCTTGGAGTCCAAAGGTTCTTTAGTGGTGACTGAACTGTCATCAGCAGTTGTGTTTGACAGATCATTAGGAATTCCACTGATTGATTGGCCTGGAGAAAGAGTTGTGCTTGACTGACTTGCAAGAACTTGAGCAGTTGTAGAATCATTAGGAACAGATGTCTTGGAACTCAAAGGGTCCTTAGTGGTGATGCCACCATTCGGTGCAATTGTGCTTGATTGATCAGAAGCAGCAATTGTGATTAATATACTAGGAAGGACTGTGTTGCTTGATTGGTCAAGAGGAACAGATGTGCTTGACTGACCTGTCAGAACTGCAGCAGTTGTGGAATCAACAGAAACATATGTCTTTGATTCCAAAGGTTCTTTAGTGGTGATTGGTCTATTATTAGTAGTTGTGCTTGACAGATCATTAGGAACTCCACTGATTGGTTGGCCTGGTGAAAGAGTTGTGCTAGAGTGACCTGCAGGAACTGAAGCAGTTGTAGAATCATCAGAAACAGATGTCTTGGAACTCAAAGGGCCCATAGTTGTAATGTGACCATTAGGTGCATTTGTGCTTGATTGATCAGAAGCAGTTGTTGTGGTTAATATACTAGGAAGAACTATGTTGCTTGATTGGTCAGGAGAAACAGTGGTGCTTGACTGAACTGTCGGAACTGCAGCAGTTGTTGAATCAACAGAAACATATGTCTTTGAATCCAAAGGTTCTTTAGTGGTGACTGGTCCATTATCAGCAGTTGTACTAAACAGATCATTAGGAACTCCACTAGTTGAATGGCCTAGAGAAAGAGTTGTGGTTGACTGACCTGCAGGAACTGGAGCAGTTGTAGAATCATCAAGAGCAGTTGTCTTGGAACTCAAAGGGTCTTTAGTGGTGACGGGACCATTCGTAGCATTTGTGCTTAATTGATCAGAAGCAGTTGTTGTGGTTAATAGACTAGGATGAACTATGTTGCTTGATTGGTCTAGAGGAACAGCTGTGCTTGACTGACCTACAGGAACTGCAGCAGTTGTGGAATCAACAGAAACATATGTTTTTGAGTCCAAAGGTTCTTCCGTGGTGACTGGATCGTTATCAGCAGTTGTATTTGACAGATCAGTAGGAACTGGAGCAGTTGTAGAATCATCAGGAACAGACGTCTTGGACCTCAAAGGGTCTTTTGTGGTGATGGAACCATTAGGTGCATTTGTGCTGGATTGACCAGAAGCAGCTGTTGTGGTTAATAGACTAGGAGGAACTATGTTGCTTGATTGGTCCAGAGGAACAGTTGTGCCTGATTGACCTACAGGAGCTGTAGCAGTTGTGGAATCAACATGAATATATGTCCTTGATGAGTCCAAAGGTTCTTTAGTGGTGATTGGAACATTATAAGCAGTTGTATCTGACATATCATTAGGAAAGACATTGCTTAAATGGCCTGAAGAAAGAGTTGTGCTTGACAGATCAATAGGAACTGCAGCAGTGGTGTAATCATTTGAAACAGTAACCGTTGATGAACTCAAAAGACCTGTAGTGGTGACAGGGTAATTAGGTGCATTTGTGCTTGACTGATCAGAAGCAGCTGTTGTGGTTAATAGACTAGGAAAAACGACGTTGCTTGATTCGTCTAGAGAAACAGATGTGCTTGACTGACCTGCAGAAACTGCAGCGGTTGTGAAATCAACTGGAACATAGGTCTTTGAATCCAAAGGTTCTTTAGTGGTGACAGGTCCATTATCAGCAGTTGTGCTTGACAAACCATTAGGAACTGCAGCGGCTGTGGAATCATCAGGAACATATGTATTTGATGAATACAAATAACCTTTATCGGTCAAGGGACCATTATGTGCAGTTGTACTTGATTGATTAGGAACCGCTGTGGATAATAGACTAGGACCTATATTGCTTGATTGGTCAAAAGGAACAGTTGTGCTTGACTGATCTTCAGGAACTGCAGCAGTTGTGAAGTCAACTGGAACAGATGGTTTTGATGAACCCAAAATATTGAAAGTGGTTATGGGAGCATTCTGTGTTAAATGTGAAGTCAAAACATTTCCAGATGCAATTGTTGTGCTTAGTTGATGAGGAGACCTGTCAGGGGATGCAACAGAACTCAAAGGATCCGTAGAAACAGTTGCTGATGATGTTTGCTTGAGTATAATATTTTGTGAAGACTGTGTTTGTTTGGTGGTCAAAGTTGATTGTTCTTGGTTCTCTGATAGACAGTAAAAGCAAGCAGAAATAAGCAACCAAATAACATTGTAGGAGAAACATTATGAAAACTTAAAATGAACAGACCTGAGTTGTTAAGCACTCCAGATGTTAGTGGAGCAGATTGAGAGGTGCTCACAGGGTCCAATTTCTGTACCTGTAAAAGAGAAAATGACAATGGCTATAGAAACAACGTGCTTCCAAATAACAAACACAGAAAGTACTGGTTGGCACAACAGGTAGATTAAACTTACAAATCCTTCATTAATAAGGTCTTCGTAATTCACAAAAAAAGAGAATTTGCCAAAGTTTTCCTCAAGCCAAACACTGAGGCTGTTGATGACAGACCCACAAGCTAAGCCTGCAACAGTAACAAACATGGAACAAACAGCTCATGAGGACAATTAATGCTTACGGGTACAGGACAGCAATAACTTCAACACAAGACAAACAAGCTCTGCCTATACTGGACCTACCTGATGCCTGACTCTGCTTTAGGTAGCCCAACAGGACTGCGGTGAGCTCCTGCTGTCTCAGCGATGTCATCTGCTCAAAGTGGCTGCTCAGAGCCCCGACGCTAGATTGGATCAAAACACGGCAGAAGAAATCTAAGCATGACGCAGTTAACTGAAAACATGGCAGAGCTGGCTAGCATATGGAAAGCGTTACGTACATGATGTGGTATGCGTTGCAGTCGGTATATGATGTTACTGTCTGGAGCATCTCTGCAGTCAAGCTGGGAAGGACTGGACTCAGTTTCAGCGTGAACCAGGAAATCCAGTCGTAGCTCGTGAACTCGGCGAAATAAAGGCGGATGATTTGGAAGGTTCCATTCATCATGATGTCTCTCACCACAGGGCTGATGTTCAAAACCTAGAGGTGATGAAAAGCAAAGAGAAAAGCAAATGTTTCCATCACCAAGTATGCAACAGAAACTCTTGGGCTATGTTGGGCTACGGTCAGGGTCGGGTACTAGAATCATGGTCAAACAAAAGGAAAGGCAACATTCCCATTTCAGAGTACAACACAAAATGTCCCGGGCTATCTTGTTTTAACAATTTCCTAAACAAAGCGGAACAGCTGCGCGCTTGCCATCTCATGGATGGGAACGTACCTGCGAGGTCTGGGTTAGAACCGTCAAGAACTGGTCCACATCCTGGAAAGCATTGCTGCCGTCAAGACGCTCAAAGACCATGGTGATTAAATCTGCATTGTTCAGCGCTCCAGATGTTAGGGTCAGCTGAGCAACTTGAGAGGCACTCAGAAGGTTCAGTGCCTGGAACTGCAGAAGGGAAAACAACAACAACAACATCTGTAGAAACAAAGTGCATGCTCAAAGCAGTCACCAGAACAACCAAGTGGCACGGTGGGCCCCTTACACTCCCAAATGCCTCGTTGAGTGCACGCAGGTCTTGGTAGTCCACGTAGACAGAGAATTTGCCAAAGCTCTCTTCAAGCCAAACACTGAGGCTGCTGGTGACGGACCCACAGGTTGAGCCTGCGACAGGGACGTGCAAAAGAGACTCGTTAGGACGGACGAAGATGCACAGACACCAAGAATTGATATTTTATTTAGCCCACAAGACAAACAAGCGCTGCCTATGCTGGACCTACCTGATGCCTGACTCTGCTTTAGGTAGCCCAACAGGACTGCGGTGAGCTCCTGCTGTCTTAGCGATGTCATCTGCTCAAAGTGGCTGCTCAGAGCCCCGACGCTAGATTGGATCAAAACACGGCAGAAGAAATCTAAGCATGACGCAGTTAACTGAAAACATTGCAGAGCTGGCTAGCATATGGAAAGCGTTACGTACATGATGTGGTATGCGTTGCAGTCGGTATATGATGTTACTGTCTGGAGCATCTCTGCAGTCAAGCTGGAAAGGACTGGACTCAGTTTCAGCGTGAACCAGGAAATCCAGTCGTAGCTCGTGAACTCGGCGAAATAAAGGCGGATGATTTGGAAGGTTCCATTCATCATGATGTCTCTCACCACAGGGCTGATGTTCAAAACCTAGAGGTGATGAAAAGCAAAGAGAAAAGCAAATGTTTCCATCACCGAGTACGCAACAGAAACTCTTGGGCTATGTTGGGCTACGGTCAGGGTCGGGTACTAAAATCATGGTCAAACAAAAGGAAAGGCAACATTCCCATTTCAGAGTACAACACAAAATGTCCCGGGCTATCTTGTTTTAACAATTTCCTAAACAAAGCGGAACAGCTGCGCGCTTGCCATCTCATGGATGGGAACGTACCTGCGAGGTCTGGGTGAGAACCGTCAAGAACTGGTCCACATCCTGGAAAGCATTGCTGCCGTCAAGACGCTCAAAGACCATGGTGATCAGATCTGCGTTGTTCAGCGCTCCAGATGTTAGGGTCAGCTGAGCAACTTGAGAGGCACTCAGAAGGTCCAGTGCCTGGAACTGCAGAAGGGAAAACAACAACAACAACGTCTGTAGAAACAACGTGCATGCTCAAAGCAGTCACCAGAACAACCAAGTGGCACGGTGGGCCCCTTACACTTCCAAATGCCTCGTTGAGTGCACGCAGGTCTTGGTAGTCCACGTAGACAGAGAATTTGCCAAAGCTCTCTTCAAGCCAAACACTGAGGCTGCTGGTGACGGACCCACAGGTTGAGCCTTCGACAGGGACGTGCAAAAGAGACTCGTTAGGACGGACGAAGATGCACAGACACCAAGTATTGATATTTTATTTAGCCCACAAGACAAACAAGCGCTGAATATGCTGGACCTACCTGATGCCTGACTCTGCTTTAGGTAGCCCAACAGGACTGCGGTGAGCTCCTGCTGTCTTAGCGATGTCATCTGCTCAAAGTGGCTGCTCAGAGCCCCGACGCTAGATTGGATCAAAACACGGCAGAAGAAATCTAAGCATGACGCAGTTAACTGAAAACATTGCAGAGCTGGCTAGCATATGGAAAGCGTTACGTACATGATGTGGTATGCGTTGCAGTCGGTATATGATGTTACTGTCTGGAGCATCTCTGCAGTCAAGCTGGAAAGGACTGGACTCAGTTTCAGCGTGAACCAGGAAATCCAGTCGTAGCTCGTGAACTCGGCGAAATAAAGGCGGATGATTTGGAAGGTTCCATTCATCATGATGTCTCTCACCACAGGGCTGATGTTCAAAACCTAGAGGTGATGAAAAGCAAAGAGAAAAGCAAATGTTTCCATCACCGAGTACGCAACAGAAACTCTTGGGCTATGTTGGGCTACAGTCAGGGTCGGGTACTAAAATCATGGTCAAACAAAAGGAAAGGCAACATTCCCATTTCAGAGTACAACACAAAATGTCCCGGGCTATCTTGTTTTAACAATTTCCTAAACAAAGCGGAACAGCTGCGCGCTTGCCATCTCATGGATGGGAACGTACCTGCGAGGTCTGGGTGAGAACCGTCAAGAACTGGTCCACATCCTGGAAAGCATTGCTGCCGTCAAGACGCTCAAAGACCATGGTGATCAGATCTGCGTTGTTCAGCGCTCCAGATGTTAGGGTCAGCTGAGCAACTTGAGAGGCACTCAGAAGGTCCAGTGCCTGGAACTGCAGAAGAGAAAACAACAACGTCTGTAGAAACAATGTGCATGCTCAAAGCAGTCACCAGAACAACCAAGTGGCACGGTGGGCCCCTTACACTTCCAAATGCCTCGTTGAGTGCACGCAGGTCTTGGTAGTCCACGTAGACAGAGAATTTGCCAAAGCTCTCTTCAAGCCAAACACTGAGGCTGCTGGTGACGGACCCACAGGTTGAGCCTGCGACAGGGACGTGCAAAAGAGACTCGTTAGGACGGACGAAGATGCACAGACACCAAGAATTGATATTTTATTTAGCCCACAAGACAAACAAGCGCTGAATATGCTGGACTTACCTGATGCCTGACTCTGCTTTAGGTAGCCCAACAGGACTGCGGTGAGCTCCTGCTGTCTCAGCGATGTCATCTGCTCAAAGTGGCTGCTCAGAGCCCCGACGCTAGATTGGATCAAAACACGGCAGAAGAAATCTAAGCATGACGCAGTTAACTGAAAACATTGCAGAGCTGGCTAGCATATGGAAAGCGTTACGTACATGATGTGGTATGCGTTGCAGTCGGTATATGATGTTACTGTCTGGAGCATCTCTGCAGTCAAGCTGGAAAGGACTGGACTCAGTTTCAGCGTGAACCAGGAAATCCAGTCGTAGCTCGTGAACTCGGCGAAATAAAGGCGGATGATTTGGAAGGTTCCATTCATCATGATGTCTCTCACCACAGGGCTGATGTTCAAAACCTAGAGGTGATGAAAAGCAAAGAGAAAAGCAAATGTTTCCATCACCGAGTACGCAACAGAAACTCTTGGGCTATGTTGGGCTACGGTCAGGGTCGGGTAATAAAATCATGGTCAAACAAAAGGAAAGGCAACATTCCCATTTCAGAGTACAACACAAAATGTCCCGGGCTATCTTGTTTTAACAATTTTCTAAACAAAGCGGAACAGCTGCGCGCTTGCCATCTCATGGATGGGAACGTACCTGCGAGGTCTGGGTGAGAACCGTCAAGAACTGGTCCACATCCTGGAAAGCATTGCTGCCGTCAAGACGCTCAAAGACCATGGTGATCAGATCTGCGTTGTTCAGCGCTCCAGATGTTAGGGTCAGCTGAGCAACTTGAGAGGCACTCAGAAGGTCCAGTGCCTGGAACTGCAGAAGAGAAAACAACAACAACGTCTGTAGAAACAATGTGCATGCTCAAAGCAGTCACCAGAACAACCAAGTGGCACGGTGGGCCCCTTACACTTCCAAATGCCTCGTTGAGTGCACGCAGGTCTTGGTAGTCCACGTAGACAGAGAATTTGCCAAAGCTCTCTTCAAGCCAAACACTGAGGCTGCTGGTGACGGACCCACAGGTTGAGCCTGCGACAGGGACGTGCAAAAGAGACTCGTTAGGACGGACGAAGATGCACAGACACCAAGAATTGATATTTTATTTAGCCCACAAGACAAACAAGCGCTGAATATGCTGGACTTACCTGATGCCTGACTCTGCTTTAGGTAGCCCAACAGGACTGCGGTGAGCTCCTGCTGTCTCAGCGATGTCATCTGCTCAAAGTGGCTGCTCAGAGCCCCGACGCTAGATTGGATCAAAACACAGCAGAAGAAATCTAAGCATGACGCAGTTAACTGAAAACATTGCAGAGCTGGCTAGCATATGGAAAGCGTTACGTACATGATGTGGTATGCGTTGCAGTCGGTATATGATGTTACTGTCTGGAGCATCTCTGCAGTCAAGCTGGAAAGGACTGGACTCAGTTTCAGCGTGAACCAGGAAATCCAGTCGTAGCTCGTGAACTCGGCGAAATAAAGGCGGATGATTTGGAAGGTTCCATTCATCATGATGTCTCTCACCACAGGGCTGATGTTCAAAACCTAGAGGTGATGAAAAGCAAAGAGAAAAGCAAATGTTTCCATCACCGAGTACGCAACAGAAACTCTTGGGCTATGTTGGGCTACGGTCAGGGTCGGGTACTAAAATCATGGTCAAACAAAAGGAAAGGCAACATTCCCATTTCAGAGTACAACACAAAATGTCCCGGGCTATCTTGTTTTAACAATTTCCTAAACAAAGCGGAACAGCTGCGCGCTTGCCATCTCATGGATGGGAACGTACCTGCGAGGTCTGGGTGAGAACCGTCAAGAACTGGTCCACATCCTGGAAAGCATTGCTGCCGTCAAGACGCTCAAAGACCATGGTGATCAGATCTGCGTTGTTCAGCGCTCCAGATGTTAGGGTCAGCTGAGCAACTTGAGAGGCACTCAGAAGGTCCAGTGCCTGGAACTGCAGAAGAGAAAACAACAACAACGTCTGTAGAAACAATGTGCATGCTCAAAGCAGTCACCAGAACAACCAAGTGGCACGGTGGGCCCCTTACACTTCCAAATGCCTCGTTGAGTGCACGCAGGTCTTGGTAGTCCACGTAGACAGAGAATTTGCCAAAGCTCTCTTCAAGCCAAACACTGAGGCTGCTGGTGTCGGACCCACAGGTTGAGCCTGCGACAGGGACGTGCAAAAGAGACTCGTTAGGACGGACGAAGATGCACAGACACCAAGAATTGATATTTTATTTAGCCCACAAGACAAACAAGCTCTGCCTATGCTGGACCTACCTGATGCCTGACTCTGCTTTAGGTAGCCCAACAGGACTGCGGTGAGCTCCTGCTGTCTCAGCGATGTCATCTGCTCAAAGTGGCTGCTCAGAGCCCCGACGCTAGATTGGATCAAAACACGGCAGAAGAAATCTAAGCATGACGCAGTTAACTGAAAACATTGCAGAGCTGGCTAGCATATGGAAAGCGTTACGTACATGATGTGGTATGCGTTGCAGTCGGTATATGATGTTACTGTCTGGAGCATCTCTGCAGTCAAGCTGGAAAGGACTGGACTCAGTTTCAGCGTGAACCAGGAAATCCAGTCGTAGCTCGTGAACTCGGCGAAATAAAGGCGGATGATTTGGAAGGTTCCATTCATCATGATGTCTCTCACCACAGGGCTGATGTTCAAAACCTAGAGGTGATGAAAAGCAAAGAGAAAAGCAAATGTTTCCATCACCGAGTACGCAACAGAAACTCTTGGGCTATGTTGGGCTACGGTCAGGGTCGGGTACTAAAATCATGGTCAAACAAAAGGAAAGGCAACATTCCCATTTCAGAGTACAACACAAAATGTCCCGGGCTATCTTGTTTTAACAATTTCCTAAACAAAGCGGAACAGCTGCGCGCTTGCCATCTCATGGATGGGAACGTACCTGCGAGGTCTGGGTGAGAACCGTCAAGAACTGGTCCACATCCTGGAAAGCATTGCTGCCGTCAAGACGCTCAAAGACCATGGTGATCAGATCTGCGTTGTTCAGCGCTCCAGATGTTAGGGTCAGCTGAGCAACTTGAGAGGCACTCAGAAGGTCCAGTGCCTGGAACTGCAGAAGAGAAAACAACAACAACGTCTGTAGAAACAATGTGCATGCTCAAAGCAGTCACCAGAACAACCAAGTGGCACGGTGGGCCCCTTACACTTCCAAATGCCTCGTTGAGTGCACGCAGGTCTTGGTAGTCCACGTAGACAGAGAATTTGCCAAAGCTCTCTTCAAGCCAAACACTGAGGCTGCTGGTGTCGGACCCACAGGTTGAGCCTGCGACAGGGACGTGCAAAAGAGACTCGTTAGGACGGACGAAGATGCACAGACACCAAGAATTGATATTTTATTTAGCCCACAAGACAAACAAGCTCTGCCTATGCTGGACCTACCTGATGCCTGACTCTGCTTTTGGTAGCCCAACAGGACTGCGGTGAGCTCCTGCTGTCTTAGCGATGTCATCTGCTCAAAGTGGCTGCTCAGAGCCCCGACGCTAGATTGGATCAAAACACGGCAGAAGAAATCTAAGCATGACGCAGTTAACTGAAAACATTGCAGAGCTGGCTAGCATATGGAAAGCGTTACGTACATGATGTGGTATGCGTTGCAGTCGGTATATGATGTTACTGTCTGGAGCATCTCTGCAGTCAAGCTGGAAAGGACTGGACTCAGTTTCAGCGTGAACCAGGAAATCCAGTCGTAGCTCGTGAACTCGGCGAAATAAAGGCGGATGATTTGGAAGGTTCCATTCATCATGATGTCTCTCACCACAGGGCTGATGTTCAAAACCTAGAGGTGATGAAAAGCAAAGAGAAAAGCAAATGTTTCCATCACCGAGTACGCAACAGAAACTCTTGGGCTATGTTGGGCTACGGTCAGGGTCGGGTACTAAAATCATGGTCAAACAAAAGGAAAGGCAACATTCCCATTTCAGAGTACAACACAAAATGTCCCGGGCTATCTTGTTTTAACAATTTTCTAAACAAAGCGGAACAGCTGCGCGCTTGCCATCTCATGGATGGGAACGTACCTGCGAGGTCTGGGTGAGAACCGTCAAGAACTGGTCCACATCCTGGAAAGCATTGCTGCCGTCAAGACGCTCAAAGACCATGGTGATCAGATCTGCGTTGTTCAGCGCTCCAGATGTTAGGGTCAGCTGAGCAACTTGAGAGGCACTCAGAAGGTCCAGTGCCTGGAACTGCAGAAGAGAAAACAACAACAACGTCTGTAGAAACAATGTGCATGCTCAAAGCAGTCACCAGAACAACCAAGTGGCACGGTGGGCCCCTTACACTTCCAAATGCCTCGTTGAGTGCACGTAGGTCTTGGTAGTCCACGTAGACAGAGAATTTGCCAAAGCTCTCTTCAAGCCAAACACTGAGGCTGCTGGTGTCGGACCCACAGGTTGAGCCTGCGACAGGGACGTGCAAAAGAGACTCGTTAGGACGGACGAAGATGCACAGACACCAAGAATTGATATTTTATTTAGCCCACAAGACAAACAAGCTCTGCCTATGCTGGACCTACCTGATGCCTGACTCTGCTTTTGGTAGCCCAACAGGACTGCGGTGAGCTCCTGCTGTCTTAGCGATGTCATCTGCTCAAAGTGGCTGCTCAGAGCCCCGACGCTAGATTGGATCAAAACACGGCAGAAGAAATCTAAGCATGATGCAGTTAACTGAAAACATTGCAGAGCTGGCTAGCATATGGAAAGCGTTACGTACATGATGTGGTATGCGTTGCAGTCGGTATATGATGTTACTGTCTGGAGCATCTCTGCAGTCAAGCTGGAAAGGACTGGACTCAGTTTCAGCGTGAACCAGGAAATCCAGTCGTAGCTCGTGAACTCGGCGAAATAAAGGCGGATGATTTGGAAGGTTCCATTCATCATGATGTCTCTCACCACAGGGCTGATGTTCAAAACCTAGAGGTGATGAAAAGCAAAGAGAAAAGCAAATGTTTCCATCACCGAGTACGCAACAGAAACTCTTGGGCTATGTTGGGCTACGGTCAGGGTCGGGTACTAAAATCATGGTCAAACAAAAGGAAAGGCAACATTCCCATTTCAGAGTACAACACAAAATGTCCCGGGCTATCTTGTTTTAACAATTTTCTAAACAAAGCGGAACAGCTGCGCGCTTGCCATCTCATGGATGGGAACGTACCTGCGAGGTCTGGGTGAGAACCGTCAAGAACTGGTCCACATCCTGGAAAGCATTGCTGCCGTCAAGACGCTCAAAGACCATGGTGATCAGATCCGCGTTGTTCAGCGCTCCAGATGTTAGGGTCAGCTGAGCAACTTGAGAGGCACTCAGAAGGTCCAGTGCCTGGAACTGCAGAAGAGAAAACAACAACAACGTCTGTAGAAACAATGTGCATGCTCAAAGCAGTCACCAGAACAACCAAGTGGCACGGTGGGCCCCTTACACTTCCAAATGCCTCGTTGAGTGCACGCAGGTCTTGGTAGTCCACGTAGACAGAGAATTTGCCAAAGCTCTCTTCAAGCCAAACACTGAGGCTGCTGGTGTCGGACCCACAGGTTGAGCCTGCGACAGGGACGTGCAAAAGAGACTCGTTAGGACGGACGAAGATGCACAGACACCAAGAATTGATATTTTATTTAGCCCACAAGACAAACAAGCTCTGCCTATGCTGGACCTACCTGATGCCTGACTCTGCTTTAGGTAGCCCAACAGGACTGCGGTGAGCTCCTGCTGTCTCAGCGATGTCATCTGCTCAAAGTGGCTGCTCAGAGCCCCGACGCTAGATTGGATCAAAACACGGCAGAAGAAATCTAAGCATGACGCAGTTAACTGAAAACATTGCAGAGCTGGCTAGCATATGGAAAGCGTTACGTACATGATGTGGTATGCGTTGCAGTCGGTATATGATGTTACTGTCTGGAGCATCTCTGCAGTCAAGCTGGAAAGGACTGGACTCAGTTTCAGCGTGAACCAGGAAATCCAGTCGTAGCTCGTGAACTCGGCGAAATAAAGGCGGATGATTTGGAAGGTTCCATTCATCATGATGTCTCTCACCACAGGGCTGATGTTCAAAACCTAGAGGTGATGAAAAGCAAAGAGAAAAGCAAATGTTTCCATCACCGAGTACGCAACAGAAACTCTTGGGCTATGTTGGGCTACGGTCAGGGTCGGGTACTAAAATCATGGTCAAACAAAAGGAAAGGCAACATTCCCATTTCAGAGTACAACACAAAATGTCCCGGGCTATCTTGTTTTAACAATTTCCTAAACAAAGCGGAACAGCTGCGCGCTTGCCATCTCATGGATGGGAACGTACCTGCGAGGTCTGGGTGAGAACCGTCAAGAACTGGTCCACATCCTGGAAAGCATTGCTGCCGTCAAGACGCTCAAAGACCATGGTGATCAGATCTGCGTTGTTCAGCGCTCCAGATGTTAGGGTCAGCTGAGCAACTTGAGAGGCACTCAGAAGGTCCAGTGCCTGGAACTGCAGAAGAGAAAACAACAACAACGTCTGTAGAAACAACGTGCATGCTCAAAGCAGTCACCAGAACAACCAAGTGGCACGGTGGGCCCCTTACACTTCCAAATGCCTCGTTGAGTGCACGCAGGTCTTGGTAGTCCACGTAGACAGAGAATTTGCCAAAGCTCTCTTCAAGCCAAACACTGAGGCTGCTGGTGTCGGACCCACAGGTTGAGCCTGCGACAGGGACGTGCAAAAGAGACTCGTTAGGACGGACGAAGATGCACAGACACCAAGAATTGATATTTTATTTAGCCCACAAGACAAACAAGCTCTGCCTATGCTGGACCTACCTGATGCCTGACTCTGCTTTAGGTAGCCCAACAGGACTGCGGTGAGCTCCTGCTGTCTCAGCGATGTCATCTGCTCAAAGTGGCTGCTCAGAGCCCCGACGCTAGATTGGATCAAAACACGGCAGAAGAAATCTAAGCATGACGCAGTTAACTGAAAACATTGCAGAGCTGGCTAGCATATGGAAAGCGTTACGTACATGATGTGGTATGTGTTGCAGTCGGTATATGATGTTACTGTCTGGAGCATCTCTGCATTCAAGCTGGGAAGGACTGGACTCAGTTTCAGCGTGAACCAGGAAATCCAGTCGTAGCTCGTGAACTCGGCGAAATAAAGGCGGATGATTTGGAAGGTTCCATTCATCATGATGTCTCTCACCACAGGGCTGATGTTCAAAACCTAGAGGTGATGAAAAGCAAAGAGAAAAGCAAATGTTTCCATCACCGAGTACGCAACAGAAACTCTTGGGCTATGTTGGGCTACGGTCAGGGTCGGGTACTAAAATCATGGTCAAACAAAAGGAAAGGCAACATTCCCATTTCAGAGTACAACACAAAATGTCCCGGGCTATCTTGTTTTAACAATTTTCTAAACAAAGCGGAACAGCTGCGCGCTTGCCATCTCATGGATGGGAACGTACCTGCGAGGTCTGGGTGAGAACCGTCAAGAACTGGTCCACATCCTGGAAAGCATTGCTGCCGTCAAGACGCTCAAAGACCATGGTGATCAGATCTGCGTTGTTCAGCGCTCCAGATGTTAGGGTCAGCTGAGCAACTTGAGAGGCACTCAGAAGGTCCAGTGCCTGGAACTGCAGAAGAGAAAACAACAACAACGTCTGTAGAAACAACGTGCATGCTCAAAGCAGTCACCAGAACAACCAAGTGGCACGGTGGGCCCCTTACACTTCCAAATGCCTCGTTGAGTGCACGCAGGTCTTGGTAGTCCACGTAGACAGAGAATTTGCCAAAGCTCTCTTCAAGCCAAACACTGAGGCTGCTGGTGTCGGACCCACAGGTTGAGCCTGCGACAGGGACGTGCAAAAGAGACTCGTTAGGACGGACGAAGATGCACAGACACCAAGAATTGATATTTTATTTAGCCCACAAGACAAACAAGCTCTGCCTATGCTGGACCTACCTGATGCCTGACTCTGCTTTAGGTAGCCCAACAGGACTGCGGTGAGCTCCTGCTGTCTTAGCGATGTCATCTGCTCAAAGTGGCTGCTCAGAGCCCCGACGCTAGATTGGATCAAAACACGGCAGAAGAAATCTAAGCATGACGCAGTTAACTGAAAACATTGCAGAGCTGGCTAGCATATGGAAAGCGTTACGTACATGATGTGGTATGCGTTGCAGTCGGTATATGATGTTACTGTCTGGAGCATCTCTGCAGTCAAGCTGGGAAGGACTGGACTCAGTTTCAGCGTGAACCAGGAAATCCAGTCGTAGCTCGTGAACTCGGCGAAATAAAGGCGGATGATTTGGAAGGTTCCATTCATCATGATGTCTCTCACCACAGGGCTGATGTTCAAAACCTAGAGGTGATGAAAAGCAAAGAGAAAAGCAAATGTTTCCATCACCGAGTACGCAACAGAAACTCTTGGGCTATGTTGGGCTACGGTCAGGGTCGGGTACTAAAATCATGGTCAAACAAAAGGAAAGGCAACATTCCCATTTCAGAGTACAACACAAAATGTCCCGGGCTATCTTGTTTTAACAATTTCCTAAACAAAGCGGAACAGCTGCGCGCTTGCCATCTCATGGATGGGAACGTACCTGCGAGGTCTGGGTGAGAACCGTCAAGAACTGGTCCACATCCTGGAAAGCATTGCTGCCGTCAAGACGCTCAAAGACCATGGTGATCAGATCTGCGTTGTTCAGCGCTCCAGATGTTAGGGTCAGCTGAGCAACTTGAGAGGCACTCAGAAGGTCCAGTGCCTGGAACTGCAGAAGAGAAAACAACAACAACGTCTGTAGAAACAACGTGCATGCTCAAAGCAGTCACCAGAACAACCAAGTGGCACGGTGGGCCCCTTACACTTCCAAATGCCTCGTTGAGTGCACGCAGGTCTTGGTAGTCCACGTAGACAGAGAATTTGCCAAAGCTCTCTTCAAGCCAAACACTGAGGCTGCTGGTGTCGGACCCACAGGTTGAGCCTGCGACAGGGACGTGCAAAAGAGACTCGTTAGGACGGACGAAGATGCACAGACACCAAGAATTGATATTTTATTTAGCCCACAAGACAAACAAGCGCTGCCTATGCTGGACCTACCTGATGCCTGACTCTGCTTTAGGTAGCCCAACAGGACTGCGGTGAGCTCCTGCTGTCTCAGCGATGTCATCTGCTCAAAGTGGCTGCTCAGAGCCCCGACGCTAGATTGGATCAAAACACGGCAGAAGAAATCTAAGCATGACGCAGTTAACTGAAAACATTGCAGAGCTGGCTAGCATATGGAAAGCGTTACGTACATGATGTGGTATGCGTTGCAGTCGGTATATGATGTTACTGTCTGGAGCATCTCTGCAGTCAAGCTGGAAAGGACTGGACTCAGTTTCAGCGTGAACCAGGAAATCCAGTCGTAGCTCGTGAACTCGGCGAAATAAAGGCGGATGATTTGGAAGGTTCCATTCATCATGATGTCTCTCACCACAGGGCTGATGTTCAAAACCTAGAGGTGATGAAAAGCAAAGAGAAAAGCAAATGTTTCCATCACCGAGTACGCAACAGAAACTCTTGGGCTATGTTGGGCTACGGTCAGGGTCGGGTACTAAAATCATGGTCAAACAAAAGGAAAGGCAACATTCCCATTTCAGAGTACAACACAAAATGTCCCGGGCTATCTTGTTTTAACAATTTCCTAAACAAAGCGGAACAGCTGCGCGCTTGCCATCTCATGGATGGGAACGTACCTGCGAGGTCTGGGTGAGAACCGTCAAGAACTGGTCCACATCCTGGAAAGCATTGCTGCCGTCAAGACGCTCAAAGACCATGGTGATCAGATCTGCGTTGTTCAGCGCTCCAGATGTTAGGGTCAGCTGAGCAACTTGAGAGGCACTCAGAAGGTCCAGTGCCTGGAACTGCAGAAGAGAAAACAACAACAACAACGTCTGTAGAAACAACGTGCTTGCTCAAAGCAGTCACCAGAACAACCAAGTGGCACGGTGGGCCCCTTACACTTCCAAATGCCTCGTTGAGTGCACGCAGGTCTTGGTAGTCCACGTAGACAGAGAATTTGCCAAAGCTCTCTTCAAGCCAAACACTGAGGCTGCTGGTGTCGGACCCACAGGTTGAGCCTGCGACAGGGACGTGCAAAAGAGACTCGTTAGGACGGACGAAGATGCACAGACACCAAGAATTGATATTTTATTTAGCCCACAAGACAAACAAGCGCTGCCTATGCTGGACCTACCTGATGCCTGACTCTGCTTTAGGTAGCCCAACAGGACTGCGGTGAGCTCCTGCTGTCTCAGCGATGTCATCTGCTCAAAGTGGCTGCTCAGAGCCCCGACGCTAGATTGGATCAAAACACGGCAGAAGAAATCTAAGCATGACGCAGTTAACTGAAAACATTGCAGAGCTGGCTAGCATATGGAAAGCGTTACGTACATGATGTGGTATGCGTTGCAGTCGGTATATGATGTTACTGTCTGGAGCATCTCTGCAGTCAAGCTGGAAAGGACTGGACTCAGTTTCAGCGTGAACCAGGAAATCCAGTCGTAGCTCGTGAACTCGGCGAAATAAAGGCGGATGATTTGGAAGGTTCCATTCATCATGATGTCTCTCACCACAGGGCTGATGTTCAAAACCTAGAGGTGATGAAAAGCAAAGAGAAAAGCAAATGTTTCCATCACCGAGTACGCAACAGAAACTCTTGGGCTATGTTGGGCTACGGTCAGGGTCGGGTACTAAAATCATGGTCAAACAAAAGGAAAGGCAACATTCCCATTTCAGAGTACAACACAAAATGTCCCGGGCTATCTTGTTTTAACAATTTTCTAAACAAAGCGGAACAGCTGCGCGCTTGCCATCTCATGGATGGGAACGTACCTGCGAGGTCTGGGTGAGAACCGTCAAGAACTGGTCCACATCCTGGAAAGCATTGCTGCCGTCAAGACGCTCAAAGACCATGGTGATCAGATCTGCGTTGTTCAGCGCTCCAGATGTTAGGGTCAGCTGAGCAACTTGAGAGGCACTCAGAAGGTCCAGTGCCTGGAACTGCAGAAGAGAAAACAACAACGTCTGTAGAAACAATGTGCATGCTCAAAGCAGTCACCAGAACAACCAAGTGGCACGGTGGGCCCCTTACACTTCCAAATGCCTCGTTGAGTGCACGCAGGTCTTGGTAGTCCACGTAGACAGAGAATTTGCCAAAGCTCTCTTCAAGCCAAACACTGAGGCTGCTGGTGTCGGACCCACAGGTTGAGCCTGCGACAGGGACGTGCAAAAGAGACTCGTTAGGACGGACGAAGATGCACAGACACCAAGAATTGATATTTTATTTAGCCCACAAGACAAACAAGCGCTGCCTATGCTGGACCTACCTGATGCCTGACTCTGCTTTAGGTAGCCCAACAGGACTGCGGTGAGCTCCTGCTGTCTTAGCGATGTCATCTGCTCAAAGTGGCTGCTCAGAGCCCCGACGCTAGATTGGATCAAAACACGGCAGAAGAAATCTAAGCATGACGCAGTTAACTGAAAACATTGCAGAGCTGGCTAGCATATGGAAAGCGTTACGTACATGATGTGGTATGCGTTGCAGTCGGTATATGATGTTACTGTCTGGAGCATCTCTGCAGTCAAGCTGGAAAGGACTGGACTCAGTTTCAGCGTGAACCAGGAAATCCAGTCGTAGCTCGTGAACTCGGCGAAATAAAGGCGGATGATTTGGAAGGTTCCATTCATCATGATGTCTCTCACCACAGGGCTGATGTTCAAAACCTAGAGGTGATGAAAAGCAAAGAGAAAAGCAAATGTTTCCATCACCGAGTACGCAACAGAAACTCTTGGGCTATGTTGGGCTACGGTCAGGGTCGGGTAATAAAATCATGGTCAAACAAAAGGAAAGGCAACATTCCCATTTCAGAGTACAACACAAAATGTCCCGGGCTATCTTGTTTTAACAATTTCCTAAACAAAGCGGAACAGCTGCGCGCTTGCCATCTCATGGATGGGAACGTACCTGCGAGGTCTGGGTGAGAACCGTCAAGAACTGGTCCACATCCTGGAAAGCATTGCTGCCGTCAAGACGCTCAAAGACCATGGTGATCAGATCTGCGTTGTTCAGCGCTCCAGATGTTAGGGTCAGCTGAGCAACTTGAGAGGCACTCAGAAGGTCCAGTGCCTGGAACTGCAGAAGAGAAAACAACAACAACGTCTGTAGAAACAATGTGCATGCTCAAAGCAGTCACCAGAACAACCAAGTGGCACGGTGGGCCCCTTACACTTCCAAATGCCTCGTTGAGTGCACGCAGGTCTTGGTAGTCCACGTAGACAGAGAATTTGCCAAAGCTCTCTTCAAGCCAAACACTGAGGCTGCTGGTGACGGACCCACAGGTTGAGCCTGCGACAGGGACGTGCAAAAGAGACTCGTTAGGACGGACGAAGATGCACAGACACCAAGAATTGATATTTTATTTAGCCCACAAGACAAACAAGCGCTGAATATGCTGGACTTACCTGATGCCTGACTCTGCTTTAGGTAGCCCAACAGGACTGCGGTGAGCTCCTGCTGTCTCAGCGATGTCATCTGCTCAAAGTGGCTGCTCAGAGCCCCGACGCTAGATTGGATCAAAACACAGCAGAAGAAATCTAAGCATGACGCAGTTAACTGAAAACATTGCAGAGCTGGCTAGCATATGGAAAGCGTTACGTACATGATGTGGTATGCGTTGCAGTCGGTATATGATGTTACTGTCTGGAGCATCTCTGCAGTCAAGCTGGAAAGGACTGGACTCAGTTTCAGCGTGAACCAGGAAATCCAGTCGTAGCTCGTGAACTCGGCGAAATAAAGGCGGATGATTTGGAAGGTTCCATTCATCATGATGTCTCTCACCACAGGGCTGATGTTCAAAACCTAGAGGTGATGAAAAGCAAAGAGAAAAGCAAATGTTTCCATCACCGAGTACGCAACAGAAACTCTTGGGCTATGTTGGGCTACGGTCAGGGTCGGGTACTAAAATCATGGTCAAACAAAAGGAAAGGCAACATTCCCATTTCAGAGTACAACACAAAATGTCCCGGGCTATCTTGTTTTAACAATTTCCTAAACAAAGCGGAACAGCTGCGCGCTTGCCATCTCATGGATGGGAACGTACCTGCGAGGTCTGGGTGAGAACCGTCAAGAACTGGTCCACATCCTGGAAAGCATTGCTGCCGTCAAGACGCTCAAAGACCATGGTGATCAGATCTGCGTTGTTCAGCGCTCCAGATGTTAGGGTCAGCTGAGCAACTTGAGAGGCACTCAGAAGGTCCAGTGCCTGGAACTGCAGAAGAGAAAACAACAACAACGTCTGTAGAAACAATGTGCATGCTCAAAGCAGTCACCAGAACAACCAAGTGGCACGGTGGGCCCCTTACACTTCCAAATGCCTCGTTGAGTGCACGCAGGTCTTGGTAGTCCACGTAGACAGAGAATTTGCCAAAGCTCTCTTCAAGCCAAACACTGAGGCTGCTGGTGTCGGACCCACAGGTTGAGCCTGCGACAGGGACGTGCAAAAGAGACTCGTTAGGACGGACGAAGATGCACAGACACCAAGAATTGATATTTTATTTAGCCCACAAGACAAACAAGCTCTGCCTATGCTGGACCTACCTGATGCCTGACTCTGCTTTAGGTAGCCCAACAGGACTGCGGTGAGCTCCTGCTGTCTTAGCGATGTCATCTGCTCAAAGTGGCTGCTCAGAGCCCCGACGCTAGATTGGATCAAAACACGGCAGAAGAAATCTAAGCATGACGCAGTTAACTGAAAACATTGCAGAGCTGGCTAGCATATGGAAAGCGTTACGTACATGATGTGGTATGCGTTGCAGTCGGTATATGATGTTACTGTCTGGAGCATCTCTGCAGTCAAGCTGGAAAGGACTGGACTCAGTTTCAGCGTGAACCAGGAAATCCAGTCGTAGCTCGTGAACTCGGCGAAATAAAGGCGGATGATTTGGAAGGTTCCATTCATCATGATGTCTCTCACCACAGGGCTGATGTTCAAAACCTAGAGGTGATGAAAAGCAAAGAGAAAAGCAAATGTTTCCATCACCGAGTACGCAACAGAAACTCTTGGGCTATGTTGGGCTACAGTCAGGGTCGGGTACTAAAATCATGGTCAAACAAAAGGAAAGGCAACATTCCCATTTCAGAGTACAACACAAAATGTCCCGGGCTATCTTGTTTTAACAATTTTCTAAACAAAGCGGAACAGCTGCGCGCTTGCCATCTCATGGATGGGAACGTACCTGCGAGGTCTGGGTGAGAACCGTCAAGAACTGGTCCACATCCTGGAAAGCATTGCTGCCGTCAAGACGCTCAAAGACCATGGTGATCAGATCTGCGTTGTTCAGCGCTCCAGATGTTAGGGTCAGCTGAGCAACTTGAGAGGCACTCAGAAGGTCCAGTGCCTGGAACTGCAGAAGAGAAAACAACAACAACGTCTGTAGAAACAATGTGCATGCTCAAAGCAGTCACCAGAACAACCAAGTGGCACGGTGGGCCCCTTACACTTCCAAATGCCTCGTTGAGTGCACGCAGGTCTTGGTAGTCCACGTAGACAGAGAATTTGCCAAAGCTCTCTTCAAGCCAAACACTGAGGCTGCTGGTGTCGGACCCACAGGTTGAGCCTGCGACAGGGACGTGCAAAAGAGACTCGTTAGGACGGACGAAGATGCACAGACACCAAGAATTGATATTTTATTTAGCCCACAAGACAAACAAGCGCTGCCTATGCTGGACCTACCTGATGCCTGACTCTGCTTTAGGTAGCCCAACAGGACTGCGGTGAGCTCCTGCTGTCTTAGCGATGTCATCTGCTCAAAGTGGCTGCTCAGAGCCCCGACGCTAGATTGGATCAAAACACGGCAGAAGAAATCTAAGCATGACGCAGTTAACTGAAAACATTGCAGAGCTGGCTAGCATATGGAAAGCGTTACGTACATGATGTGGTATGCGTTGCAGTCGGTATATGATGTTACTGTCTGGAGCATCTCTGCAGTCAAGCTGGAAAGGACTGGACTCAGTTTCAGCGTGAACCAGGAAATCCAGTCGTAGCTCGTGAACTCGGCGAAATAAAGGCGGATGATTTGGAAGGTTCCATTCATCATGATGTCTCTCACCACAGGGCTGATGTTCAAAACCTAGAGGTGATGAAAAGCAAAGAGAAAAGCAAATGTTTCCATCACCGAGTACGCAACAGAAACTCTTGGGCTATGTTGGGCTACGGTCAGGGTCGGGTACTAAAATCATGGTCAAACAAAAGGAAAGGCAACATTCCCATTTCAGAGTACAACACAAAATGTCCCGGGCTATCTTGTTTTAACAATTTCCTAAACAAAGCGGAACAGCTGCGCGCTTGCCATCTCATGGATGGGAACGTACCTGCGAGGTCTGGGTGAGAACCGTCAAGAACTGGTCCACATCCTGGAAAGCATTGCTGCCGTCAAGACGCTCAAAGACCATGGTGATCAGATCTGCGTTGTTCAGCGCTCCAGATGTTAGGGTCAGCTGAGCAACTTGAGAGGCACTCAGAAGGTCCAGTGCCTGGAACTGCAGAAGGGAAAACAACAACAACAACGTCTGTAGAAACAACGTGCATGCTCAAAGCAGTCACCAGAACAACCAAGTGGCACGGTGGGCCCCTTACACTTCCAAATGCCTCGTTGAGTGCACGCAGGTCTTGGTAGTCCACGTAGACAGAGAATTTGCCAAAGCTCTCTTCAAGCCAAACACTGAGGCTGCTGGTGTCGGACCCACAGGTTGAGCCTGCGACAGGGACGTGCAAAAGAGACTCGTTAGGACGGACGAAGATGCACAGACACCAAGAATTGATATTTTATTTAGCCCACAAGACAAACAAGCGCTGCCTATGCTGGACCTACCTGATGCCTGACTCTGCTTTAGGTAGCCCAACAGGACTGCGGTGAGCTCCTGCTGTCTTAGCGATGTCATCTGCTCAAAGTGGCTGCTCAGAGCCCCGACGCTAGATTGGATCAAAACACGGCAGAAGAAATCTAAGCATGACGCAGTTAACTGAAAACATTGCAGAGCTGGCTAGCATATGGAAAGCGTTACGTACATGATGTGGTATGCGTTGCAGTCGGTATATGATGTTACTGTCTGGAGCATCTCTGCAGTCAAGCTGGAAAGGACTGGACTCAGTTTCAGCGTGAACCAGGAAATCCAGTCGTAGCTCGTGAACTCGGCGAAATAAAGGCGGATGATTTGGAAGGTTCCATTCATCATGATGTCTCTCACCACAGGGCTGATGTTCAAAACCTAGAGGTGATGAAAAGCAAAGAGAAAAGCAAATGTTTCCATCACCGAGTACGCAACAGAAACTCTTGGGCTATGTTGGGCTACGGTCAGGGTCGGGTACTAAAATCATGGTCAAACAAAAGGAAAGGCAACATTCCCATTTCAGAGTACAACACAAAATGTCCCGGGCTATCTTGTTTTAACAATTTCCTAAACAAAGCGGAACAGCTGCGCGCTTGCCATCTCATGGATGGGAACGTACCTGCGAGGTCTGGGTGAGAACCGTCAAGAACTGGTCCACATCCTGGAAAGCATTGCTGCCGTCAAGACGCTCAAAGACCATGGTGATCAGATCTGCGTTGTTCAGCGCTCCAGATGTTAGGGTCAGCTGAGCAACTTGAGAGGCACTCAGAAGGTCCAGTGCCTGGAACTGCAGAAGGGAAAACAACAACAACAACGTCTGTAGAAACAACGTGCATGCTCAAAGCAGTCACCAGAACAACCAAGTGGCACGGTGGGCCCCTTACACTTCCAAATGCCTCGTTGAGTGCACGCAGGTCTTGGTAGTCCACGTAGACAGAGAATTTGCCAAAGCTCTCTTCAAGCCAAACACTGAGGCTGCTGGTGACGGACCCACAGGTTGAGCCTGCGACAGGGACGTGCAAAAGAGACTCGTTAGGACGGACGAAGATGCACAGACACCAAGAATTGATATTTTATTTAGCCCACAAGACAAACAAGCGCTGCCTATGCTGGACCTACCTGATGCCTGACTCTGCTTTAGGTAGCCCAACAGGACTGCGGTGAGCTCCTGCTGTCTCAGCGATGTCATCTGCTCAAAGTGGCTGCTCAGAGCCCCGACGCTAGATTGGATCAAAACACGGCAGAAGAAATCTAAGCATGACGCAGTTAACTGAAAACATTGCAGAGCTGGCTAGCATATGGAAAGCGTTACGTACATGATGTGGTATGCGTTGCAGTCGGTATATGATGTTACTGTCTGGAGCATCTCTGCAGTCAAGCTGGAAAGGACTGGACTCAGTTTCAGCGTGAACCAGGAAATCCAGTCGTAGCTCGTGAACTCGGCGAAATAAAGGCGGATGATTTGGAAGGTTCCATTCATCATGATGTCTCTCACCACAGGGCTGATGTTCAAAACCTAGAGGTGATGAAAAGCAAAGAGAAAAGCAAATGTTTCCATCACCGAGTACGCAACAGAAACTCTTGGGCTATGTTGGGCTACGGTCAGGGTCGGGTACTAAAATCATGGTCAAACAAAAGGAAAGGCAACATTCCCATTTCAGAGTACAACACAAAATGTCCCGGGCTATCTTGTTTTAACAATTTCCTAAACAAAGCGGAACAGCTGCGCGCTTGCCATCTCATGGATGGGAACGTACCTGCGAGGTCTGGGTGAGAACCGTCAAGAACTGGTCCACATCCTGGAAAGCATTGCTGCCGTCAAGACGCTCAAAGACCATGGTGATCAGATCTGCGTTGTTCAGCGCTCCAGATGTTAGGGTCAGCTGAGCAACTTGAGAGGCACTCAGAAGGTCCAGTGCCTGGAACTGCAGAAGGGAAAACAACAACAACAACGTCTGTAGAAACAACGTGCATGCTCAAAGCAGTCACCAGAACAACCAAGTGGCACGGTGGGCCCCTTACACTTCCAAATGCCTCGTTGAGTGCACGCAGGTCTTGGTAGTCCACGTAGACAGAGAATTTGCCAAAGCTCTCTTCAAGCCAAACACTGAGGCTGCTGGTGTCGGACCCACAGGTTGAGCCTGCGACAGGGACGTGCAAAAGAGACTCGTTAGGACGGACGAAGATGCACAGACACCAAGTATTGATATTTTATTTAGCCCACAAGACAAACAAGCGCTGAATATGCTGGACCTACCTGATGCCTGACTCTGCTTTAGGTAGCCCAACAGGACTGCGGTGAGCTCCTGCTGTCTTAGCGATGTCATCTGCTCAAAGTGGCTGCTCAGAGCCCCGACGCTAGATTGGATCAAAACACGGCAGAAGAAATCTAAGCATGACGCAGTTAACTGAAAACATTGCAGAGCTGGCTAGCATATGGAAAGCGTTACGTACATGATGTGGTATGCGTTGCAGTCGGTATATGATGTTACTGTCTGGAGCATCTCTGCAGTCAAGCTGGAAAGGACTGGACTCAGTTTCAGCGTGAACCAGGAAATCCAGTCGTAGCTCGTGAACTCGGCGAAATAAAGGCGGATGATTTGGAAGGTTCCATTCATCATGATGTCTCTCACCACAGGGCTGATGTTCAAAACCTAGAGGTGATGAAAAGCAAAGAGAAAAGCAAATGTTTCCATCACCGAGTACGCAACAGAAACTCTTGGGCTATGTTGGGCTACGGTCAGGGTCGGGTACTAAAATCATGGTCAAACAAAAGGAAAGGCAACATTCCCATTTCAGAGTACAACACAAAATGTCCCGGGCTATCTTGTTTTAACAATTTTCTAAACAAAGCGGAACAGCTGCGCGCTTGCTATCTCATGGATGGGAACGTACCTGCGAGGTCTGGGTGAGAACCGTCAAGAACTGGTCCACATCCTGGAAAGCATTGCTGCCGTCAAGACGCTCAAAGACCATGGTGATCAGATCTGCGTTGTTCAGCGCTCCAGATGTTAGGGTCAGCTGAGCAACTTGAGAGGCACTCAGAAGGTCCAGTGCCTGGAACTGCAGAAGAGAAAACAACAACAACGTCTGTAGAAACAATGTGCATGCTCAAAGCAGTCACCAGAACAACCAAGTGGCACGGTGGGCCCCTTACACTTCCAAATGCCTCGTTGAGTGCACGCAGGTCTTGGTAGTCCACGTAGACAGAGAATTTGCCAAAGCTCTCTTCAAGCCAAACACTGAGGCTGCTGGTGTCGGACCCACAGGTTGAGCCTGCGACAGGGACGTGCAAAAGAGACTCGTTAGGACGGACGAAGATGCACAGACACCAAGAATTGATATTTTATTTAGCCCACAAGACAAACAAGCTCTGCCTATGCTGGACCTACCTGATGCCTGACTCTGCTTTTGGTAGCCCAACAGGACTGCGGTGAGCTCCTGCTGTCTCAGCGATGTCATCTGCTCAAAGTGGCTGCTCAGAGCCCCGACGCTAGATTGGATCAAAACACGGCAGAAGAAATCTAAGCATGACGCAGTTAACTGAAAACATTGCAGAGCTGGCTAGCATATGGAAAGCGTTACGTACATGATGTGGTATGCGTTGCAGTCGGTATATGATGTTACTGTCTGGAGCATCTCTGCAGTCAAGCTGGAAAGGACTGGACTCAGTTTCAGCGTGAACCAGGAAATCCAGTCGTAGCTCGTGAACTCGGCGAAATAAAGGCGGATGATTTGGAAGGTTCCATTCATCATGATGTCTCTCACCACAGGGCTGATGTTCAAAACCTAGAGGTGATGAAAAGCAAAGAGAAAAGCAAATGTTTCCATCACCGAGTACGCAACAGAAACTCTTGGGCTATGTTGGGCTACGGTCAGGGTCGGGTACTAAAATCATGGTCAAACAAAAGGAAAGGCAACATTCCCATTTCAGAGTACAACACAAAATGTCCCGGGCTATCTTGTTTTAACAATTTCCTAAACAAAGCGGAACAGCTGCGCGCTTGCCATCTCATGGATGGGAACGTACCTGCGAGGTCTGGGTGAGAACCGTCAAGAACTGGTCCACATCCTGGAAAGCATTGCTGCCGTCAAGACGCTCAAAGACCATGGTGATCAGATCTGCGTTGTTCAGCGCTCCAGATGTTAGGGTCAGCTGAGCAACTTGAGAGGCACTCAGAAGGTCCAGTGCCTGGAACTGCAGAAGGGAAAACAACAACAACAACGTCTGTAGAAACAACGTGCATGCTCAAAGCAGTCACCAGAACAACCAAGTGGCACGGTGGGCCCCTTACACTTCCAAATGCCTCGTTGAGTGCACGCAGGTCTTGGTAGTCCACGTAGACAGAGAATTTGCCAAAGCTCTCTTCAAGCCAAACACTGAGGCTGCTGGTGACGGACCCACAGGTTGAGCCTTCGACAGGGACGTGCAAAAGAGACTCGTTAGGACGGACGAAGATGCACAGACACCAAGTATTGATATTTTATTTAGCCCACAAGACAAACAAGCGCTGAATATGCTGGACCTACCTGATGCCTGACTCTGCTTTAGGTAGCCCAACAGGACTGCGGTGAGCTCCTGCTGTCTTAGCGATGTCATCTGCTCAAAGTGGCTGCTCAGAGCCCCGACGCTAGATTGGATCAAAACACGGCAGAAGAAATCTAAGCATGACGCAGTTAACTGAAAACATTGCAGAGCTGGCTAGCATATGGAAAGCGTTACGTACATGATGTGGTATGCGTTGCAGTCGGTATATGATGTTACTGTCTGGAGCATCTCTGCAGTCAAGCTGGAAAGGACTGGACTCAGTTTCAGCGTGAACCAGGAAATCCAGTCGTAGCTCGTGAACTCGGCGAAATAAAGGCGGATGATTTGGAAGGTTCCATTCATCATGATGTCTCTCACCACAGGGCTGATGTTCAAAACCTAGAGGTGATGAAAAGCAAAGAGAAAAGCAAATGTTTCCATCACCGAGTACGCAACAGAAACTCTTGGGCTATGTTGGGCTACGGTCAGGGTCGGGTACTAAAATCATGGTCAAACAAAAGGAAAGGCAACATTCCCATTTCAGAGTACAACACAAAATGTCCCGGGCTATCTTGTTTTAACAATTTCCTAAACAAAGCGGAACAGCTGCGCGCTTGCCATCTCATGGATGGGAACGTACCTGCGAGGTCTGGGTGAGAACCGTCAAGAACTGGTCCACATCCTGGAAAGCATTGCTGCCGTCAAGACGCTCAAAGACCATGGTGATCAGATCTGCGTTGTTCAGCGCTCCAGATGTTAGGGTCAGCTGAGCAACTTGAGAGGCACTCAGAAGGTCCAGTGCCTGGAACTGCAGAAGGGAAAACAACAACAACAACGTCTGTAGAAACAACGTGCATGCTCAAAGCAGTCACCAGAACAACCAAGTGGCACGGTGGGCCCCTTACACTTCCAAATGCCTCGTTGAGTGCACGCAGGTCTTGGTAGTCCACGTAGACAGAGAATTTGCCAAAGCTCTCTTCAAGCCAAACACTGAGGCTGCTGGTGACGGACCCACAGGTTGAGCCTTCGACAGGGACGTGCAAAAGAGACTCGTTAGGACGGACGAAGATGCACAGACACCAAGTATTGATATTTTATTTAGCCCACAAGACAAACAAGCGCTGAATATGCTGGACCTACCTGATGCCTGACTCTGCTTTAGGTAGCCCAACAGGACTGCGGTGAGCTCCTGCTGTCTTAGCGATGTCATCTGCTCAAAGTGGCTGCTCAGAGCCCCGACGCTAGATTGGATCAAAACACGGCAGAAGAAATCTAAGCATGACGCAGTTAACTGAAAACATTGCAGAGCTGGCTAGCATATGGAAAGCGTTACGTACATGATGTGGTATGCGTTGCAGTCGGTATATGATGTTACTGTCTGGAGCATCTCTGCAGTCAAGCTGGAAAGGACTGGACTCAGTTTCAGCGTGAACCAGGAAATCCAGTCGTAGCTCGTGAACTCGGCGAAATAAAGGCGGATGATTTGGAAGGTTCCATTCATCATGATGTCTCTCACCACAGGGCTGATGTTCAAAACCTAGAGGTGATGAAAAGCAAAGAGAAAAGCAAATGTTTCCATCACCGAGTACGCAACAGAAACTCTTGGGCTATGTTGGGCTACGGTCAGGGTCGGGTACTAAAATCATGGTCAAACAAAAGGAAAGGCAACATTCCCATTTCAGAGTACAACACAAAATGTCCCGGGCTATCTTGTTTTAACAATTTTCTAAACAAAGCGGAACAGCTGCGCGCTTGCCATCTCATGGATGGGAACGTACCTGCGAGGTCTGGGTGAGAACCGTCAAGAACTGGTCCACATCCTGGAAAGCATTGCTGCCGTCAAGACGCTCAAAGACCATGGTGATCAGATCTGCGTTGTTCAGCGCTCCAGATGTTAGGGTCAGCTGAGCAACTTGAGAGGCACTCAGAAGGTCCAGTGCCTGGAACTGCAGAAGAGAAAACAACAACAACGTCTGTAGAAACAATGTGCATGCTCAAAGCAGTCACCAGAACAACCAAGTGGCACGGTGGGCCCCTTACACTTCCAAATGCCTCGTTGAGTGCACGCAGGTCTTGGTAGTCCACGTAGACAGAGAATTTGCCAAAGCTCTCTTCAAGCCAAACACTGAGGCTGCTGGTGTCGGACCCACAGGTTGAGCCTGCGACAGGGACGTGCAAAAGAGACTCGTTAGGACGGACGAAGATGCACAGACACCAAGAATTGATATTTTATTTAGCCCACAAGACAAACAAGCTCTGCCTATGCTGGACCTACCTGATGCCTGACTCTGCTTTAGGTAGCCCAACAGGACTGCGGTGAGCTCCTGCTGTCTCAGCGATGTCATCTGCTCAAAGTGGCTGCTCAGAGCCCCGACGCTAGATTGGATCAAAACACGGCAGAAGAAATCTAAGCATGATGCAGTTAACTGAAAACATTGCAGAGCTGGCTAGCATATGGAAAGCGTTACGTACATGATGTGGTATGCGTTGCAGTCGGTATATGATGTTACTGTCTGGAGCATCTCTGCAGTCAAGCTGGGAAGGACTGGACTCAGTTTCAGCGTGAACCAGGAAATCCAGTCGTAGCTCGTGAACTCGGCGAAATAAAGGCGGATGATTTGGAAGGTTCCATTCATCATGATGTCTCTCACCACAGGGCTGATGTTCAAAACCTAGAGGTGATGAAAAGCAAAGAGAAAAGCAAATGTTTCCATCACCGAGTACGCAACAGAAACTCTTGGGCTATGTTGGGCTACGGTCAGGGTCGGGTACTAAAATCATGGTCAAACAAAAGGAAAGGCAACATTCCCATTTCAGAGTACAACACAAAATGTCCCGGGCTATCTTGTTTAACAATTTTCTAAACAAAGCGGAACAGCTGCGCGCTTGCCATCTCATGGATGGGAACGTACCTGCGAGGTCTGGGTGAGAACCGTCAAGAACTGGTCCACATCCTGGAAAGCATTGCTGCCGTCAAGACGCTCAAAGACCATGGTGATCAGATCTGCGTTGTTCAGCGCTCCAGATGTTAGGGTCAGCTGAGCAACTTGAGAGGCACTCAGAAGGTCCAGTGCCTGGAACTGCAGAAGAGAAAACAACAACAACGTCTGTAGAAACAATGTGCATGCTCAAAGCAGTCACCAGAACAACCAAGTGGCACGGTGGGCCCCTTACACTTCCAAATGCCTCGTTGAGTGCACGCAGGTCTTGGTAGTCCACGTAGACAGAGAATTTGCCAAAGCTCTCTTCAAGCCAAACACTGAGGCTGCTGGTGTCGGACCCACAGGTTGAGCCTGCGACAGGGACGTGCAAAAGAGACTCGTTAGGACGGACGAAGATGCACAGACACCAAGAATTGATATTTTATTTAGCCCACAAGACAAACAAGCTCTGCCTATGCTGGACCTACCTGATGCCTGACTCTGCTTTTGGTAGCCCAACAGGACTGCGGTGAGCTCCTGCTGTCTTAGCGATGTCATCTGCTCAAAGTGGCTGCTCAGAGCCCCGACGCTAGATTGGATCAAAACACGGCAGAAGAAATCTAAGCATGACGCAGTTAACTGAAAACATTGCAGAGCTGGCTAGCATATGGAAAGCGTTACGTACATGATGTGGTATGCGTTGCAGTCGGTATATGATGTTACTGTCTGGAGCATCTCTGCAGTCAAGCTGGAAAGGACTGGACTCAGTTTCAGCGTGAACCAGGAAATCCAGTCGTAGCTCGTGAACTCGGCGAAATAAAGGCGGATGATTTGGAAGGTTCCATTCATCATGATGTCTCTCACCACAGGGCTGATGTTCAAAACCTAGAGGTGATGAAAAGCAAAGAGAAAAGCAAATGTTTCCATCACCGAGTACGCAACAGAAACTCTTGGGCTATGTTGGGCTACGGTCAGGGTCGGGTACTAAAATCATGGTCAAACAAAAGGAAAGGCAACATTCCCATTTCAGAGTACAACACAAAATGTCCCGGGCTATCTTGTTTTAACAATTTCCTAAACAAAGCGGAACAGCTGCGCGCTTGCCATCTCATGGATGGGAACGTACCTGCGAGGTCTGGGTGAGAACCGTCAAGAACTGGTCCACATCCTGGAAAGCATTGCTGCCGTCAAGACGCTCAAAGACCATGGTGATCAGATCTGCGTTGTTCAGCGCTCCAGATGTTAGGGTCAGCTGAGCAACTTGAGAGGCACTCAGAAGGTCCAGTGCCTGGAACTGCAGAAGAGAAAACAACAACAACAACGTCTGTAGAAACAACGTGCATGCTCAAAGCAGTCACCAGAACAACCAAGTGGCACGGTGGGCCCCTTACACTTCCAAATGCCTCGTTGAGTGCACGCAGGTCTTGGTAGTCCACGTAGACAGAGAATTTGCCAAAGCTCTCTTCAAGCCAAACACTGAGGCTGCTGGTGTCGGACCCACAGGTTGAGCCTGCGACAGGGACGTGCAAAAGAGACTCGTTAGGACGGACGAAGATGCACAGACACCAAGAATTGATATTTTATTTAGCCCACAAGACAAACAAGCTCTGCCTATGCTGGACCTACCTGATGCCTGACTCTGCTTTAGGTAGCCCAACAGGACTGCGGTGAGCTCCTGCTGTCTTAGCGATGTCATCTGCTCAAAGTGGCTGCTCAGAGCCCCGACGCTAGATTGGATCAAAACACGGCAGAAGAAATCTAAGCATGACGCAGTTAACTGAAAACATTGCAGAGCTGGCTAGCATATGGAAAGCGTTACGTACATGATGTGGTATGCGTTGCAGTCGGTATATGATGTTACTGTCTGGAGCATCTCTGCAGTCAAGCTGGAAAGGACTGGACTCAGTTTCAGCGTGAACCAGGAAATCCAGTCGTAGCTCGTGAACTCGGCGAAATAAAGGCGGATGATTTGGAAGGTTCCATTCATCATGATGTCTCTCACCACAGGGCTGATGTTCAAAACCTAGAGGTGATGAAAAGCAAAGAGAAAAGCAAATGTTTCCATCACCGAGTACGCAACAGAAACTCTTGGGCTATGTTGGGCTACGGTCAGGGTCGGGTACTAAAATCATGGTCAAACAAAAGGAAAGGCAACATTCCCATTTCAGAGTACAACACAAAATGTCCCGGGCTATCTTGTTTTAACAATTTTCTAAACAAAGCGGAACAGCTGCGCGCTTGCCATCTCATGGATGGGAACGTTCCTGCGAGGTCTGGGTGAGAACCGTCAAGAACTGGTCCACATCCTGGAAAGCATTGCTGCCGTCAAGACGCTCAAAGACCATGGTGATCAGATCTGCGTTGTTCAGCGCTCCAGATGTTAGGGTCAGCTGAGCAACTTGAGAGGCACTCAGAAGGTCCAGTGCCTGGAACTGCAGAAGAGAAAACAACAACAACGTCTGTAGAAACAATGTGCATGCTCAAAGCAGTCACCAGAACAACCAAGTGGCACGGTGGGCCCCTTACACTTCCAAATGCCTCGTTGAGTGCACGCAGGTCTTGGTAGTCCACGTAGACAGAGAATTTGCCAAAGCTCTCTTCAAGCCAAACACTGAGGCTGCTGGTGTCGGACCCACAGGTTGAGCCTGCGACAGGGACGTGCAAAAGAGACTCGTTAGGACGGACGAAGATGCACAGACACCAAGAATTGATATTTTATTTAGCCCACAAGACAAACAAGCTCTGCCTATGCTGGACCTACCTGATGCCTGACTCTGCTTTAGGTAGCCCAACAGGACTGCGGTGAGCTCCTGCTGTCTCAGCGATGTCATCTGCTCAAAGTGGCTGCTCAGAGCCCCGACGCTAGATTGGATCAAAACACGGCAGAAGAAATCTAAGCATGATGCAGTTAACTGAAAACATTGCAGAGCTGGCTAGCATATGGAAAGCGTTACGTACATGATGTGGTATGCGTTGCAGTCGGTATATGATGTTACTGTCTGGAGCATCTCTGCAGTCAAGCTGGGAAGGACTGGACTCAGTTTCAGCGTGAACCAGGAAATCCAGTCGTAGCTCGTGAACTCGGCGAAATAAAGGCGGATGATTTGGAAGGTTCCATTCATCATGATGTCTCTCACCACAGGGCTGATGTTCAAAACCTAGAGGTGATGAAAAGCAAAGAGAAAAGCAAATGTTTCCATCACCGAGTACGCAACAGAAACTCTTGGGCTATGTTGGGCTACGGTCAGGGTCGGGTACTAAAATCATGGTCAAACAAAAGGAAAGGCAACATTCCCATTTCAGAGTACAACACAAAATGTCCCGGGCTATCTTGTTTTAACAATTTCCTAAACAAAGCGGAACAGCTGCGCGCTTGCCATCTCATGGATGGGAACGTACCTGCGAGGTCTGGGTGAGAACCGTCAAGAACTGGTCCACATCCTGGAAAGCATTGCTGCCGTCAAGACGCTCAAAGACCATGGTGATCAGATCTGCGTTGTTCAGCGCTCCAGATGTTAGGGTCAGCTGAGCAACTTGAGAGGCACTCAGAAGGTCCAGTGCCTGGAACTGCAGAAGAGAAAACAACAACAACAACGTCTGTAGAAACAACGTGCTTGCTCAAAGCAGTCACCAGAACAACCAAGTGGCACGGTGGGCCCCTTACACTTCCAAATGCCTCGTTGAGTGCACGCAGGTCTTGGTAGTCCACGTAGACAGAGAATTTGCCAAAGCTCTCTTCAAGCCAAACACTGAGGCTGCTGGTGTCGGACCCACAGGTTGAGCCTGCGACAGGGACGTGCAAAAGAGACTCGTTAGGACGGACGAAGATGCACAGACACCAAGAATTGATATTTTATTTAGCCCACAAGACAAACAAGCTCTGCCTATGCTGGACCTACCTGATGCCTGACTCTGCTTTTGGTAGCCCAACAGGACTGCGGTGAGCTCCTGCTGTCTCAGCGATGTCATCTGCTCAAAGTGGCTGCTCAGAGCCCCGACGCTAGATTGGATCAAAACACGGCAGAAGAAATCTAAGCATGACGCAGTTAACTGAAAACATTGCAGAGCTGGCTAGCATATGGAAAGCGTTACGTACATGATGTGGTATGTGTTGCAGTCGGTATATGATGTTACTGTCTGGAGCATCTCTGCATTCAAGCTGGGAAGGACTGGACTCAGTTTCAGCGTGAACCAGGAAATCCAGTCGTAGCTCGTGAACTCGGCGAAATAAAGGCGGATGATTTGGAAGGTTCCATTCATCATGATGTCTCTCACCACAGGGCTGATGTTCAAAACCTAGAGGTGATGAAAAGCAAAGAGAAAAGCAAATGTTTCCATCACCGAGTACGCAACAGAAACTCTTGGGCTATGTTGGGCTACGGTCAGGGTCGGGTACTAAAATCATGGTCAAACAAAAGGAAAGGCAACATTCCCATTTCAGAGTACAACACAAAATGTCCCGGGCTATCTTGTTTTAACAATTTCCTAAACAAAGCGGAACAGCTGCGCGCTTGCCATCTCATGGATGGGAACGTACCTGCGAGGTCTGGGTGAGAACCGTCAAGAACTGGTCCACATCCTGGAAAGCATTGCTGCCGTCAAGACGCTCAAAGACCATGGTGATCAGATCTGCGTTGTTCAGCGCTCCAGATGTTAGGGTCAGCTGAGCAACTTGAGAGGCACTCAGAAGGTCCAGTGCCTGGAACTGCAGAAGAGAAAACAACAACAACAACGTCTGTAGAAACAACGTGCTTGCTCAAAGCAGTCACCAGAACAACCAAGTGGCACGGTGGGCCCCTTACACTTCCAAATGCCTCGTTGAGTGCACGCAGGTCTTGGTAGTCCACGTAGACAGAGAATTTGCCAAAGCTCTCTTCAAGCCAAACACTGAGGCTGCTGGTGTCGGACCCACAGGTTGAGCCTGCGACAGGGACGTGCAAAAGAGACTCGTTAGGACGGACGAAGATGCACAGACACCAAGAATTGATATTTTATTTAGCCCACAAGACAAACAAGCGCTGCCTATGCTGGACCTACCTGATGCCTGACTCTGCTTTAGGTAGCCCAACAGGACTGCGGTGAGCTCCTGCTGTCTCAGCGATGTCATCTGCTCAAAGTGGCTGCTCAGAGCCCCGACGCTAGATTGGATCAAAACACGGCAGAAGAAATCTAAGCATGACGCAGAAAACTGAAAACATTGCAGAGCTGGCTAGCATATGGAAAGCGTTACGTACATGATGTGGTATGCGTTGCAGTCGGTATATGATGTTACTGTCTGGAGCATCTCTGCAGTCAAGCTGGAAAGGACTGGACTCAGTTTCAGCGTGAACCAGGAAATCCAGTCGTAGCTCGTGAACTCGGCGAAATAAAGGCGGATGATTTGGAAGGTTCCATTCATCATGATGTCTCTCACCACAGGGCTGATGTTCAAAACCTAGAGGTGATGAAAAGCAAAGAGAAAAGCAAATGTTTCCATCACCGAGTACGCAACAGAAACTCTTGGGCTATGTTGGGCTACGGTCAGGGTCGGGTACTAAAATCATGGTCAAACAAAAGGAAAGGCAACATTCCCATTTCAGAGTACAACACAAAATGTCCCGGGCTATCTTGTTTTAACAATTTCCTAAACAAAGCGGAACAGCTGCGCGCTTGCCATCTCATGGATGGGAACGTACCTGCGAGGTCTGGGTGAGAACCGTCAAGAACTGGTCCACATCCTGGAAAGCATTGCTGCCGTCAAGACGCTCAAAGACCATGGTGATCAGATCTGCGTTGTTCAGCGCTCCAGATGTTAGGGTCAGCTGAGCAACTTGAGAGGCACTCAGAAGGTCCAGTGCCTGGAACTGCAGAAGAGAAAACAACAACAACAACGTCTGTAGAAACAACGTGCTTGGTCAAAGCAGTCACCAGAACAACCAAGTGGCACGGTGGGCCCCTTACACTTCCAAATGCCTCGTTGAGTGCACGCAGGTCTTGGTAGTCCACGTAGACAGAGAATTTGCCAAAGCTCTCTTCAAGCCAAACACTGAGGCTGCTGGTGTCGGACCCACAGGTTGAGCCTGCGACAGGGACGTGCAAAAGAGACTCGTTAGGACGGACGAAGATGCACAGACACCAAGAATTGATATTTTATTTAGCCCACAAGACAAACAAGCTCTGCCTATGCTGGACCTACCTGATGCCTGACTCTGCTTTAGGTAGCCCAACAGGACTGCGGTGAGCTCCTGCTGTCTCAGCGATGTCATCTGCTCAAAGTGGCTGCTCAGAGCCCCGACGCTAGATTGGATCAAAACACGGCAGAAGAAATCTAAGCATGACGCAGTTAACTGAAAACATTGCAGAGCTGGCTAGCATATGGAAAGCGTTACGTACATGATGTGGTATGCGTTGCAGTCGGTATATGATGTTACTGTCTGGAGCATCTCTGCAGTCAAGCTGGAAAGGACTGGACTCAGTTTCAGCGTGAACCAGGAAATCCAGTCGTAGCTCGTGAACTCGGCGAAATAAAGGCGGATGATTTGGAAGGTTCCATTCATCATGATGTCTCTCACCACAGGGCTGATGTTCAAAACCTAGAGGTGATGAAAAGCAAAGAGAAAAGCAAATGTTTCCATCACCGAGTACGCAACAGAAACTCTTGGGCTATGTTGGGCTACGGTCAGGGTCGGGTACTAAAATCATGGTCAAACAAAAGGAAAGGCAACATTCCCATTTCAGAGTACAACACAAAATGTCCCGGGCTATCTTGTTTTAACAATTTCCTAAACAAAGCGGAACAGCTGCGCGCTTGCCATCTCATGGATGGGAACGTACCTGCGAGGTCTGGGTGAGAACCGTCAAGAACTGGTCCACATCCTGGAAAGCATTGCTGCCGTCAAGACGCTCAAAGACCATGGTGATCAGATCTGCGTTGTTCAGCGCTCCAGATGTTAGGGTCAGCTGAGCAACTTGAGAGGCACTCAGAAGGTCCAGTGCCTGGAACTGCAGAAGAGAAAACAACAACAACAACGTCTGTAGAAACAACGTGCTTGCTCAAAGCAGTCACCAGAACAACCAAGTGGCACGGTGGGCTCCTTACACTCCCAAATGCCTCGTTGAGTGCACGCAGGTCTTGGTAGTCCACGTAGACAGAGAATTTGCCAAAGCTCTCTTCAAGCCAAACACTGAGGCTGCTGGTGTCGGACCCACAGGTTGAGCCTGCGACAGGGACGTGCAAAAGAGACTCGTTAGGACGGACGAAGATGCACAGACACCAAGAATTGCTATTTAATTTAGCCCACAAGACAAACAAGCGCTGCCTATGCTGGACCTACCTGATGCCTGACTCTGCTTTAGGTAGCCCAACAGGACTGCGGTGAGCTCCTGCTGTCTCAGCGATGTCATCTGCTCAAAGTGGCTGCTCAGAGCCCCGACGCTAGATTGGATCAAAACACGGCAGAAGAAATCTAAGCATGACGCAGAAAACTGAAAACATTGCAGAGCTGGCTAGCATATGGAAATCGTTACGTACATGATGTGGTATGCGTCACAGTCGGTATATGATGTTACTGTCTGGAGCATCTCTGCAGTCAAGCTGGAAAGGACCGGACTCAGTTTCAGCGTGAACCAGGAAATCCAGTCGTAGCTCGTGAACTCGGCGAAATAAAGGCGGATGATTTGGAAGGTTCCATTCATCATGATGTCTCTCACCACAGGGCTGATGTTCAAAACCTAGAGGTGATGAAAAGCAAAGAGAAAAGCAAATGTTTCCATCACCGAGTACGCAACAGAAACTCTTGGGCTATGTTGGGCTACGGTCAGGGTCGGGTACTAAAATCATGGTCAAACAAAAGGAAAGGCAACATTCCCATTTCAGAGTACAACACAAAATGTCCCGGGCTATCTTGTTTTAACAATTTCCTAAACAAAGCGGAACAGCTGCGCGCTTGCCATCTCATGGATGGGAACGTACCTGCGAGGTCTGGGTGAGAACCGTCAAGAACTGGTCCACATCCTGGAAAGCATTGCTGCCGTCAAGACGCTCAAAGACCATGGTGATCAGATCTGCGTTGTTCAGCGCTCCAGATGTTAGGGTCAGCTGAGCAACTTGAGAGGCACTCAGAAGGTCCAGTGCCTGGAACTGCAGAAGAGAAAACAACAACAACAACGTCTGTAGAAACAACGTGCTTGCTCAAAGCAGTCACCAGAACAACCAAGTGGCACGGTGGGCCCCTTACACTTCCAAATGCCTCGTTGAGTGCACGCAGGTCTTGGTAGTCCACGTAGACAGAGAATTTGCCAAAGCTCTCTTCAAGCCAAACACTGAGGCTGCTGGTGTCGGACCCACAGGTTGAGCCTGCGACAGGGACGTGCAAAAGAGACTCGTTAGGACGGACGAAGATGCACAGACACCAAGAATTGATATTTTATTTAGCCCACAAGACAAACAAGCTCTGCCTATGCTGGACCTACCTGATGCCTGACTCTGCTTTAGGTAGCCCAACAGGACTGCGGTGAGCTCCTGCTGTCTCAGCGATGTCATCTGCTCAAAGTGGCTGCTCAGAGCCCCGACGCTAGATTGGATCAAAACACGGCAGAAGAAATCTAAGCATGACGCAGTTAACTGAAAACATTGCAGAGCTGGCTAGCATATGGAAAGCGTTACGTACATGATGTGGTATGCGTTGCAGTCGGTATATGATGTTACTGTCTGGAGCATCTCTGCAGTCAAGCTGGAAAGGACTGGACTCAGTTTCAGCGTGAACCAGGAAATCCAGTCGTAGCTCGTGAACTCGGCGAAATAAAGGCGGATGATTTGGAAGGTTCCATTCATCATGATGTCTCTCACCACAGGGCTGATGTTCAAAACCTAGAGGTGATGAAAAGCAAAGAGAAAAGCAAATGTTTCCATCACCGAGTACGCAACAGAAACTCTTGGGCTATGTTGGGCTACGGTCAGGGTCGGGTACTAAAATCATGGTCAAACAAAAGGAAAGGCAACATTCCCATTTCAGAGTACAACACAAAATGTCCCGGGCTATCTTGTTTTAACAATTTCCTAAACAAAGCGGAACAGCTGCGCGCTTGCCATCTCATGGATGGGAACGTACCTGCGAGGTCTGGGTGAGAACCGTCAAGAACTGGTCCACATCCTGGAAAGCATTGCTGCCGTCAAGACGCTCAAAGACCATGGTGATCAGATCTGCGTTGTTCAGCGCTCCAGATGTTAGGGTCAGCTGAGCAACTTGAGAGGCACTCAGAAGGTCCAGTGCCTGGAACTGCAGAAGAGAAAACAACAACAACAACGTCTGTAGAAACAACGTGCTTGCTCAAAGCAGTCACCAGAACAACCAAGTGGCACGGTGGGCCCCTTACACTTCCAAATGCCTCGTTGAGTGCACGCAGGTCTTGGTAGTCCACGTAGACAGAGAATTTGCCAAAGCTCTCTTCAAGCCAAACACTGAGGCTGCTGGTGTCGGACCCACAGGTTGAGCCTGCGACAGGGACGTGCAAAAGAGACTCGTTAGGACGGACGAAGATGCACAGACACCAAGAATTGATATTTTATTTAGCCCACAAGACAAACAAGCGCTGCCTATGCTGGACCTACCTGATGCCTGACTCTGCTTTAGGTAGCCCAACAGGACTGCGGTGAGCTCCTGCTGTCTCAGCGATGTCATCTGCTCAAAGTGGCTGCTCAGAGCCCCGACGCTAGATTGGATCAAAACACGGCAGAAGAAATCTAAGCATGACGCAGTTAACTGAAAACATTGCAGAGCTGGCTAGCATATGGAAAGCGTTACGTACATGATGTGGTATGCGTTGCAGTCGGTATATGATGTTACTGTCTGGAGCATCTCTGCAGTCAAGCTGGAAAGGACTGGACTCAGTTTCAGCGTGAACCAGGAAATCCAGTCGTAGCTCGTGAACTCGGCGAAATAAAGGCGGATGATTTGGAAGGTTCCATTCATCATGATGTCTCTCACCACAGGGCTGATGTTCAAAACCTAGAGGTGATGAAAAGCAAAGAGAAAAGCAAATGTTTCCATCACCGAGTACGCAACAGAAACTCTTGGGCTATGTTGGGCTACGGTCAGGGTCGGGTACTAAAATCATGGTCAAACAAAAGGAAAGGCAACATTCCCATTTCAGAGTACAACACAAAATGTCCCGGGCTATCTTGTTTTAACAATTTCCTAAACAAAGCGGAACAGCTGCGCGCTTGCCATCTCATGGATGGGAACGTACCTGCGAGGTCTGGGTGAGAACCGTCAAGAACTGGTCCACATCCTGGAAAGCATTGCTGCCGTCAAGACGCTCAAAGACCATGGTGATCAGATCTGCGTTGTTCAGCGCTCCAGATGTTAGGGTCAGCTGAGCAACTTGAGAGGCACTCAGAAGGTCCAGTGCCTGGAACTGCAGAAGAGAAAACAACAACAACAACGTCTGTAGAAACAACGTGCTTGCTCAAAGCAGTCACCAGAACAACCAAGTGGCACGGTGGGCCCCTTACACTTCCAAATGCCTCGTTGAGTGCACGCAGGTCTTGGTAGTCCACGTAGACAGAGAATTTGCCAAAGCTCTCTTCAAGCCAAACACTGAGGCTGCTGGTGTCGGACCCACAGGTTGAGCCTGCGACAGGGACGTGCAAAAGAGACTCGTTAGGACGGACGAAGATGCACAGACACCAAGAATTGCTATTTTATTTAGCCCACAAGACAAACAAGCGCTGCCTATGCTGGACCTACCTGATGCCTGACTCTGCTTTAGGTAGCCCAACAGGACTGCGGTGAGCTCCTGCTGTCTCAGCGATGTCATCTGCTCAAAGTGGCTGCTCAGAGCCCCGACGCTAGATTGGATCAAAACACGGCAGAAGAAATCTAAGCATGACGCAGAAAACTGAAAACATTGCAGAGCTGGCTAGCATATGGAAATCGTTACGTACATGATGTGGTATGCGTCACAGTCGGTATATGATGTTACTGTCTGGAGCATCTCTGCAGTCAAGCTGGAAAGGACCGGACTCAGTTTCAGCGTGAACCAGGAAATCCAGTCGTAGCTCGTGAACTCGGCGAAATAAAGGCGGATGATTTGGAAGGTTCCATTCATCATGATGTCTCTCACCACAGGGCTGATGTTCAAAACCTAGAGGTGATGAAAAGCAAAGAGAAAAGCAAATGTTTCCATCACCGAGTACGCAACAGAAACTCTTGGGCTATGTTGGGCTACGGTCAGGGTCGGGTACTAAAATCATGGTCAAACAAAAGGAAAGGCAACATTCCCATTTCAGAGTACAACACAAAATGTCCCGGGCTATCTTGTTTTAACAATTTCCTAAACAAAGCGGAACAGCTGCGCGCTTGCCATCTCATGGATGGGAACGTACCTGCGAGGTCTGGGTGAGAACCGTCAAGAACTGGTCCACATCCTGGAAAGCATTGCTGCCGTCAAGACGCTCAAAGACCATGGTGATCAGATCTGCGTTGTTCAGCGCTCCAGATGTTAGGGTCAGCTGAGCAACTTGAGAGGCACTCAGAAGGTCCAGTGCCTGGAACTGCAGAAGGGAAAACAACAACAACAACGTCTGTAGAAACAACGTGCATGCTCAAAGCAGTCACCAGAACAACCAAGTGGTACGGTGGGCCCCTTACACTTCCAAATGCCTCGTTGAGTGCACGCAGGTCTTGGTAGTCCACGTAGACAGAGAATTTGCCAAAGCTCTCTTCAAGCCAAACACTGAGGCTGCTGGTGACGGATCCACAGGTTGAGCCTTCGACAGGGACGTGCAAAAGAGACTCGTTAGGACGGACGAAGATGCACAGACACCAAGTATTGATATTTTATTTAGCCCACAAGACAAACAAGCGCTGAATATGCTGGACCTACCTGATGCCTGACTCTGCTTTAGGTAGCCCAACAGGACTGCGGTGAGCTCCTGCTGTCTCAGCGATGTCATCTGCTCAAAGTGGCTGCTCAGAGCCCCGACGCTAGATTGGATCAAAACACGGCAGAAGAAATCTAAGCATGACGCAGTTAACTGAAAACATTGCAGAGCTGGCTAGCATATGGAAAGCGTTACGTACATGATGTGGTATGCGTTGCAGTCGGTATATGATGTTACTGTCTGGAGCATCTCTGCAGTCAAGCTGGAAAGGACTGGACTCAGTTTCAGCGTGAACCAGGAAATCCAGTCGTAGCTCGTGAACTCTGCGAAATAAAGGCGGATGATTTGGAAGGTTCCATTCATCATGATGTCTCTCACCACAGGGCTGATGTTCAAAACCTAGAGGTGATGAAAAGCAAAGAGAAAAGCAAATGTTTCCATCACCGAGTACGCAACAGAAACTCTTGGGCTAATTTGAGCTGTTGTATGTTTTTTTTTCCAAAAAGATTTCTTCAAATTAATGTTACACACTCTACTGTTTTTAGTGATGTATGAAGTCTTAGCTTGCAAATCCAAGTGTGCACACAGATTCTTTTGGAGAGACAAGCCTCAAGGCTAGTCCTTTACTGCATTTTACCTCTCTGAACTGAAAATAATTTGCAATATGTCAATGATAAGTCAAGTTTTCTATTTTAAATCAAAAGATTTTTGCTAAGTATATTTCATTCTTATGTAGTTTATCTAAAATCCTTTTTTCTAGATGTGTGAGTGGGGAATTCTGTTTTATTTCAACTGCATTGTCTTTACAAATATTGATTCAGTTTTTTCAAAGAAACTCATTTCTTGATTCCAGGATTAAAAGTATAATTTTTTTAAAAATAAAATTAATACATTGACAAATAAAGTAAGTAAGTAAGTAATGTGCATTTATATAGTGAATATATGGTGTATGGTTATACACCCAAAGCACTTTTACAATCATGAAACGAGTCTCACACCACCACCAGTGTGCAGCATAAAATCAATTATAACTTGAGCTTTTATTTAGAAATCAAGATTCATCAGACCAGGCAACGTTTTTTTAATCTTCTATTGTCCTATTTTGGTGAGTCTGTGTGAATTGTAGATTCAGTTTCCAGTTCTTAGCTTACAGGAGTGGTCCTTTGGTCTTAACAATGGCTGTTTCTCAATATGTGTTCTTTAGCGATCTTGCATCCTCCTGTTCTCATTTAACGTCATCATCAGTTACCAAAGTTCAGTTCCAATACTCAAAATCGCAAAAACGGAGGACGTGTAAAAACTTCTTGAATGCAGTCTTGAAATCGAGGATGCATGGATGCAGACTTAAGCACCAAACTCGCTCTAGAAGTCCCAGAACTCATTGCGACAGGAGGTGGGAGGTAAAGTCTAGATCGGATGCACAGCCAGCTGGAAATGTAGCTTGTAGCGGTAGTTCTACCAGGAAGACCTAAATGTCACATCACTCATCACAATCAGTTCCAACCAATAACCAAGAGACACAAGGAATATATAATCTGTCCATTCATTCATTTAGTTGCAGGCACAGACGCAGACGTTCACCCACCATCCTCCTCACCACCACCAGGGGGGAAAGCTCCGCCCCTGCCTTCGTCCTCAGCAGATGTAGCTGGATCTAAAAGCTTCCAAACCAAGATATGGACATGGCCTCAGCTTGTGAAATCCTGTTTCAGGATACTTTTGTTAAACAATAATAATCAATAAATGTAATTCAGTATCATAATTTTCTCCCTGGTGTTTCTGGTAGAAGTGCAATATGCACATTAATATAGCAACATTTTTTCTGACACTTTAAAACAATAATTCATATTTTTACATCACTGTGACAGATGGGTTTAGAGTTGGGATTGACGTTAAAATACACGTTGAAATACAATAAATGGGAAATTTCATAAATAATATGAATAATTCTCGTTAACTTCCGGCTGCATGCATATCCGATCTAGCAACAACTGAGGTTGGAAGTGCAGCATTTTATATAGGTTTATTATTAAAGATTAGAGATATAACTTATTTGTCTCAGGAGTTTCCCTAGTTTCACACAGGACGCGTTCTCTATTCTCGTTCTCCCGAGTTCGTTCTTCCGAGGACACCTGGCAAGACCGGTCTTTAGAAGAACGTAAGTCCGTTCTCTGCGTTCTTTGAATTGAGAAACAGCCAATGTCTACATGCCTAAACGCATTGAGCTGCTGCCATGTGATTAACTGATTAGAAATTTACGTTAATGAGCAGTTGGACAGGTGTACCTAATAAAGTGGTCGGTGAGTGTGTATACTGCTCAGTGAACACTTTACTCACTGAAAGCCTGCTCTCAATGGTAGCCTATATTTACTGATCTGTTAACACTTTACTGGCTGAAAACCTGTGCCTGATGGTATGTTTACTGCTCTGTGAACACTTTTACTGAAAATCTACAATTGATCGTATATACTGCTCTATCAACACTCGACTGCCTGAAAATATAAAAAAGTAAAATATTGCACAAAAAATTAACACTTTGATGCCCACAAACTTGTGTTGAAGGACTGGCATTTAGATCTAGTTTTCTTTTTGTATATTTAACCATTGAAATGTACTTTAAACTTACACGAAATTCCCAGTATTAATATTAAATTTGGTAAAGCCTTTTAATTGTATGATTTTTTTTAATGAGTTTTTTATATGAGTAAACTTGCGTTGTGGATTAATTGTTAATTTCTACTTTTTCACCCAATTTGATTTTACTTTAAAGTAAATGTCTTTTAACTTGCTTTATAGCACTGTTAAATATGTCTTGGAAAACATTTTTAAAAGAAATAAAATATAATCTAACAAAAGTTTGGGTTGTTCTTGATTGTTTATACTTCATCCACACTTTTCTATGTGACTTCATTAAAATTAATTGTTGCTATAAGAAATGCATAATTTTCTGGTCAATGTCTTCGTATTGAGGATATTCTGCAGTACTCTTGGTTAAAGTTTGTCCAGAATCTGAAATCTGTCAATAGAAATAATGAATTTGACATTAGTCAGTTGATCTTACCTTAGACCGAATTAGGGTCCAGAAAAACTCATCAGTGTTCTGGAAAGCATTGCCTGTTTGTAAACGGTCAAAAATGATCCCGATCATATTGACACTGTTCAGAGCTCCGGATGTCACAGTAAACTCTGCCACCTCAGACGGACTCAGTAAGTCAAGATAATCCAGCTGCAAAGTACAAGAATCATCAACCAGAGTTCCTGTGCATCATACGCTGCTTTTCTTACTTAGAGTTTTTGTCTTGTTTTTAGTCCAAATATCTAACAATTCTTGAATCAAGAAGCAGAACAAGCAAAACATTGATTTGTTTTAAAAAATAATGTTCGAATTAAGTGAGTTTTCACTTGAAACATACAAAAACAATCTGCCAATGGGATAAGAAAATATTCTAAATAATGTCAAAACAAGATTACTTTGCTTACACTATTGTCAGATTATTTTACTTGTTTTAAGAATAAACTCACTTCATTTTGACTTTTAAATTCTATAAACAAGACAATGTTGTTAGCTTGTCTAGAAAATACTTCTTGGTTTAAGAATTTGTAGATATTTGGACTAGAAACCAGACAAAAACTCTAAGTAAGTAAATCAGTGTAATAGTTGTTGTCGTATTATTATTTGCAGAACTTAAATCACCTCAGTGAACTGGTTGTTGAGCGTCTGCAGTTGTGCAAGTGTGGCATGTTTAGAGAATATCCCAAAATTGATCCGCAGCCATTCATTGCTCGTGAGGATGTTTGAGAGGCAACCTGGATCTGTGAATATATGCAGCCATGAAAGCCAATCCTCCATGCAATCCCTCAATAATGTTTGTCAGTTAATGTCTGGGTACCTGTTATGTCTGTCCTGGACAGATATGAGTAAATGAGATGAGTGAAGATCAGCTCCTTCTGCTGGTCTGAGATCAGTGCTGCTTCTCTGCTGAGAACCTTCACACTAAAAACACATTAGTCATCCCTATTAGTGATCATTCAGCTGATGTGCACACTGCAAAAAATGCTTTTGTCTTTCTATCTGCCAATGGGGTAAGGAAGGTAAAGTTATTTCAAAGCGAAAACAAGATGATTGCGCTTACCCTATTGGCAGGTTACTTTCCTTGTTTAAAGAAATGTTTACTTATTTCTAAAAACTAGACAATGTGTTTTGCTTGTCTAGAGAATGCTTCGTGATTTAAGAATTTGCAGATATTTGGATTAGAAACAAGACAAAAACTTTTTTTTTTGCAGTGTAATTATTAAATGCAAACATGCGTTATCTTGTCTTCCTCAAAATGTCACGTACATCACTTGAAAGGCTTGGCAGGGGAATTTCATCTGACTCAGTTGTGCCAGAATCTCCTCATTGACATATGGAAGAACAGGCAGAAACTTCACATACACCCAGTACTCAACAAACGATAGATCGTGGATTGCTGTTTCAGTGAGATCATCCACAGAAAGAAAGGCAGCAGCCACACTGATGTTTAACTCTGGGTTCTGGAAAAGACAAAAAGCTGTGGTTCATCTCACACAGAGACACATATAACAGAAAGTGCTTGAATTAGAGGGTTACAAACCAGCTCCACAGATAGACTGAGCGCTAACTGGAGGATTTGTCTGATCTGCATGTTAAGCCATTGCAGTTTAGCACTGGAGACGTTTCCATCGTTCATCATCTTGCACAACGCTTGACCGCTCATATTGGCCGTGGCACTGATCACCTTTAAAGGGGAGAATTAAAGGACATCTATTTTACCCATTTTACGAGATGTAAGATAAGCATTTGTTGTCTCCAGAATGTGTCTGTAAAGATTCAGCTCAAAATACCCAACAGATTATTTGTTATACAATGTAGAATCTGCCCATTTTGTCTGTGTCTGGTGGGCAGTGTAGCTGTTTCGTAGCCTGTGGCTTTAAATGCAAATGAGTTGGTTCTCCCTAACTACCTTTCCAAATGCACATCTGCTTCTCATGCATTATGTCAGATAAACGGCAGTCAGTGACAGAGACAGACACAGAGCTGACATACAGCTCATTAGTCAAGACTCCAAGTAAGTTTATGTGATGTATTGGTGGAGTCTATTCAAGCCTTTCTGAAATGATGAGGCACACACGAATGCCGTTTGCAGTACACACACTCACACACATATACAGCTGAAGTCAGAATTATTCGCCCCCTGTTTATTTTTTTCCCAATTTCTGTTTAACAGAGAGCAGATTTTCTCCAACACATTTCTAATCATAATAGTGTTAATAACTCATCTCTAATAACTGATTTATTTTATCTATGTCATGATGACAGTAAATAATATTAGACTAGATATTCTTCAAGACACTAGTATTCAACTTAAAGAGACATTTAAAGGCATACATATGTAAATTATGTTTACTGGGCAGGTTAGGGTAATTAGGCAAGGTATTGTATAA